TCGGGCACCCCTCCGAGCGGTCCCCCGTCCAATTCAAAAGGGGATCGAAATTAAGACGGCCTGAGCCAAGGTTCGAACCGCTAGCGTTGCCCTCAGACTAAAGTCGTATTCGTCAGGCGGGAGTTGACCTTCAGCCGATCCATAAGTCCTTCCTTTGATTGGAGTAACATCTGCATTCGCCCCCTATCGTCCGGTGAAGCTGTAAAGGCCAGTTGCGGCCAACAGCATTAGAGTAATCCGATTAAAAAAAGAGAGCGACCTTCTTTCTGTTCATAGCAACCGAAATGACCAGAGGTGTTATAATGTAGTAACACAATTATATAAATTTGAAAGGAAGTGTTTAAAATTAGAAAGGAAGAAAAATCAAGTACCGTTGCATCGACGTATCATTGCTGAAACTTCCCACTAGTTAGATGCGTCTAAAATATAATAATAGTAAATAGTTTTGTATTAAATTAAATTACCTCATCTTCTTCAACCAATTCTAGTGTGACGCAATTCCCATCGCCTCCTTCCAACTCTATGGTATCGATATTTTGGTTTACAATCAAGCTATCCTCCTGTTGACTCAATATACCTAATTGAAATAACATGGCTGATAACAGTGTAGATATATCTGCACCATTTGTTTCTATTTCTACAGTGGGTACCTCTGTATTAGTTGTGGATAGATCTGGATTTGTTGTTGATACGTCTTGCATCTGAAATATATTTCTTTAATAGAAAACAATTTTATGTATAGCTGTCTTTATACGACACGTTGAATCGTGCGCGATCAGGAGCGCAAGATGACGGGAGACAGCGCACGCAATCGTGATTGACTATATTTTACTGTATTCACTTTTTCACGCGTGATAGCACGTATATTTCATGTTACATTAAGTTTCTTTTAAATATATTCCACAAGTTTAATTTCCAAAGAGACTTTTAAAATTATCAATAATTTTATAATAACTCTTATCATCATCCACTGGTGCCTCGCCAGCGTGTACCGTTAGCGCAGGCGGGTGCACCATTCCATAATCATCTATAAAAAAAAATCCCTCTGGGATGAGTGAATTATTATTCAGACTTATATTATTACTAGACACAAGACTCACCTGTACTTCGACCTCCTCTTGTAATTCCTTTTGGACAACACTAACATTTGGCACTTCTATTGATTTCTGTAATAATTATTGTATTTATTATTTTTTATTGCATATCATCTTATTGTCTGGAACAGCGAGAACTTATATTATAAGACAAGAATACTCGTTGTCAATAAGATTTAGGAGTAACCAGAATGTTTGTATTGCCAATAAATAGTCAATATTTATTGACTGCTAGCTACTCGCCCCGGTTTTGCATGGGTGTACATATATAAACCTTCCTCTAGAATCACTCTATCTATTAAATAAGCCGCTTCAAAATCCGTTGCGTAGTTTTAAAGATTTAAGCATACATAGGGGCGGACAGACAGCGACAGCGACAGCGATTTTATTTTATACTATGTAATGATTTATGGATTACCAAATAAAAAAACATACACTACTACTACTTGTAGAGTGCTCAAATCAAATTTATTTGAATATTTTTTATTATTCAAATTAAAAAATATGCACTTTTAAGTTGATTACTGAGTGAGCATTGCTTGTATTCTGTTTAAAGGAAAATCATTAATTTATTTAGAACATTTTTGGCTTAGTTAAAAAATTTTTTAAGGTATTCCTGGAATCCATTTCAACTGGCTAATTCAGTTGAGTAGAACTGTCGAAAACCTCAACTGGTACATTAAATAAGTCTTAGACAACGTTATAATTAGGAATAATAATTATTATTTAAAAAAAAATTGGACTGTATAAGCATGCCGGCGAAGTGCAATGCACATGCACACACAAGAGTGCTTAAATTAAGTTTATTTGAATATATGATTTTCTATTCTATTCTATTCTTGTACATGGCGACGTGTGCCACATCAATAGTCGGCCTGACCAGGTGCATTACATTATCACATAATTTTTTTATACTATGAAGGTGGCAATCAAGCATATGGGTCATCAGATGTTAAATGGTTACCATAGCCATAGACGCCTCAAACACTCAGGGGTGTCACATGTGTGTTACTAATCCTATGAATATTTCCACTACGGATATCAGTGTTACCAACCATATTACTATTTCAACTATAGCTACTACTATTGCCAATTAATTACCTGTACATTGCTATTATCACGAATTTGTAAAACTTCACCTAAATTGACTATATTCACCACTTGCAACTGATTCTCTCCATCCAACATCAACACCAGATGCCGAGTACCAACTTCATCATCTTTTTCAGTCTTATTTTCATTATTATTAACTAATTCAACGTCAATCTTCTGCTGTGCAGTTTTGTTGAACTCCTTCTCCTTAACAGCTAATACATGGGATTTAAGTTTTTGATAGGTGACCTCACATTTCTTTCTAAAGCTATAATAATTCTCTAAATCTTTGTAGCACTTTGAGCATATCTGGTTTGGAAGGCAGCTCTCACGTACCATCTGGAAATTATAAAATGACCATGTATATGCAACAGTTATTAGAGAAACAAGTTATATAGTGAAAATTGCATATATTATTTATTCCATATTGCACTTGAAGGCTCTACACACACAATGCCCCAATTGAGTATCTAAATGTGAACTAAATCCAACATACAATACAATTCACTTATAATTTGTACTATAATTGAGATAAGGATGGTAATCCTTAATCTCAACTGAAAACATATACAGTTAACAAATGTTTCATGTTTAAGTATTGAAAGACAATTCTTTCCCATTATATAAAATTACTAACCTCAATTACAGTAGTTTTTATTCTACATACAATATAATAATGTATAATATATATATATATATATAATAACAGGACAATTCAGATAGTGCCATCTAGACCCAAGTTAAGGTAGCTAAAATGGGTACTAGATAACTGATATGTACATAGTAAGTGATTACCGCCGCCCATGAGCACCCGCAACACCAGAGGAATTGCAAATACGTTGTTGACCTTTTAAAAAGGAATAAACTCTTTTCTTGAAGGTTTCAATATCATATTGGTTTATATATAAATAAATCATAAGTATAAATAACTTTGTCATAGAGTACCAGCTGTGCCCTTGACTTCTTCCATGTGAAATAGTCACCTTGGCCAAAAAATATTTCATATTCTAACCCAAAAAAGTTGAAGAATAAATTGTCATCATTCTAGCTTAATGAATTTTCTACCAAATTTTCTTCCCCTATTTTATTTGATTGTCATATTTAATCAACAACTCAAAAAATTAGTTTCAAACTTCTAAAATAATGATACCTCCATACAATATTTCCCCCCTTACAACCCATTTTTCGATTCAAAAAGTATCCTATGTCCTTTCTCAGGATCTAGACTCTCTGTTTACCAAATTTCATTTATATTAGTTGAGTAGTTTTAACGTGAAAGTGAGACACAAATTTCATTTATTATGGTTCAGTAGTTTTAGCATGAAAGTGAGACAGACAGACAGAGGTACTTTCGCATTTATAATATTAGTACGGAAGTACGGATTTAGTATGTTTACCTCCAGTCCAACACATATCATAATCCTCATAGGCAACGTCGCGCATACATCTGTTTTGACCTTACCATTTACTTCGCTTAGTTTCATAAAATAATAGATTGAACATAAGCGGTGTATTGTTTTATTTCAGAATATTGGTATTCCATCCTCTGGTTTTCCGAGGCACAATCTGCACAGATTCTCCACGCCCTCTATCAGTTGGCACTCCGGTCGTTTACGAGAATAAGTGCGCATTATTGCCCACAAATATTATACAGGTAAATAATACACGTACAGAAACAAAAAATAATTAAAAAGTTTACTTTTGTTTACTAAATTATAACCTCACATATCACAAAGTATTAATTAAATTGTAACAAAAGTATATATACTATGGCCATAAACATTATTTCACATTGTAAGGCGATTTTATGCAGGAAGATAAAAATTTTATTAAAAAATAAAACTAAGTACGGAAGAAAATATTCCGAAAGTAAAAAGAAATATAATTTAGACTTTCGTTTTTAGCTAATGTCAAATGTGACATTCTTGACATTAAATGCTATTTTCAATTGACAGTTGTGACACCAACGACAAATAAATCTGTGGTCCTCGCCGTATTTAAATAATGGGAGGGTAGTTAGGTAGTACTTAGAATCAATGAGAACTGTTTCTTATGGTAGAACAAAAGCAAAGAAGTTTAGTTTAAAATCCCTTCAGACTGTCTCTAAAGTGGAAAGAGAGAAATTTGTTTTACAACTGCTGATGGTACCTGAATTATTTGCTAGCTTTCCTCTTTTACTTTAGGGATATAGGGAATACAATTTTTTTTATTTATGATAGATGGATGCAAAAACTACTGAATGGATTTTGATTAAAGTTAACATTAATATAGCAGCATCAACACATAGACTTTAAATTTCATGCGGGGGAAAGCGCTGGAACAGTTAATAGTTAATAATATAAGAGGATTAGGTCTCGAATGACATTGCTTATTTTTCATGTTCGCGTCGTAACTAGGCAACCATCGAACTTTTTTTACGGATAATAATGGAATGGTGCACCTCCCTGCGCTAACGGTTTACTCTGGCGGGGCACCAGTGGAGGATGATAAGATGAATATGAGGTCAGATCAGTTAGCCAGTCGTGACAAATTTACTAAAAATGAACCACGTGGAGGTCAACCTGACATGGTACATTGCTAGCAATAAGATCATCAGTCCACATTAACAATCCCCATTCCCCTCAACCACCGATGTTAGAATTGCCAAAGGTTTATTAGGTGTAACTTAAGTAATAAAACTATGAATTCCAGGTATATTTTAAATTTTAATTTAATTTGAGTAGGTACATAAATTGTGTAGATCAGTTGTATGACAGGACATGTAATAACAATTACAATTAAATATATAGATATATAAGCATCGACTGTCTATGTTCAATGTATTACTGAAAAAATTGTATATGGTGCCTTGATGATCTGAAATACAGAAATAAAAGAGTGATAAATAAACTTTGCAATATATAAATTGTTCGAACAGTTTGTTTGTATTTGCAATTGTCAAATACTCGTATGTAATCTCGATATATTCAATTAATATTAAAAAAAAATATCAAACAATTAAAAATGTGTCACTTAATAAAATCCGTATTTAATCAATAAAAACGGGGCTTCTTTTAAATCTACTTTAGATGTTTGCGATAGATCTCTATATCACAAATACAGACCGATTTAAATGTTTATTTTTAAAATTATGCACTTATAATTCTCACATGTTGGTTTCATAATTTTATAAGGAAGGAGGACCAGATTTTTACAATGTACCTATGAAATAAAGCGTATATTAAATAATAAATTATCTCATTAAATTTGGAAGGTTGCAAATCAGCTCTGTTATTACTTACCGATACATAAGATTCATAGGACAACGACAATATACCAAAAGCCTTCAGCGTCTCCGGCTTCTGAAATAATGTATTACAAATTAAATATTTTATTTGTTTATGGTCGACATCTATACTCTATCGTTTTGCTGTAATCTGTGGGAGTGATTACTTTTAAAGAGACAAATGAGTGTAATAGAAAGCCGGGGGTAATTTTGATATACCTGCGCCTGTCTTATGGTCATAACCAATAGATTCCTGATGCGGAGCGTGGACAGGCGACAATTCTCCCAACCAGAGCAGTACAGTGCAGTCGCTACCTCAGACGCCTGTAGCAACACACAAAATATTCCTATATTCTTGTAAGCCATCTGCAAAATATCGCAATCGTTGTTCAGGACAACAAGAACATTAGACTAGACATTTAAATTATTAGCGATGCCCTCTGACTAAAGTCGTATCCGTCAGACGGAAGTCTGCATTCAGCCGCTCCATAAGTCCTTCCTTTGGTTTGAAGTGTAATCTGCGCTCGAAACCCGAACTCTATCGTCTGGTGAAGCTGTAAAGGCCAGCTGTGGCCAACAGCACTAGAGTAGTCCGAAAAAAAAACTTTAAAATATAGTATGGAAACTGTCAGGTCTCTCGACAATGTTTTATTCCAATCTTGCAGCTCTAGTAGTTTTTGTAACCGTACATTAATAAACGCGGGAACCCTAATTGTCATGTTGACATCTATAGACAAATGACATAACACCACTACAGAACTTTGGCAAATGAACTAACGGGGCAAGCCAGTAAAATAAAAAAAAAAAACAAAATAATCGCTTTAATTAAAAATTATATATGAAGAAACATATGAAGTAGATACTCCCCTCCACAGTAATGTCTCCCGCGTTCCACATGAAGAACCCGGTGCCATACATCAAGGAGATCCCGGTCGACACCAGAGGAATCGCAGTTATCCAGCTACTTCCAGGACTCTAACGATAGCAAATGAAAAAAAAATAGGCAATAGATTCTATATCAACTAGTAATTAATTAATTTCATCTCGCAAACTACTATTGAATGAAGTCAATGATATGTCTATGGTTATATTTGTTATATTCCAATAATACATATAATACAATTAGTAATCTAATAATTACTTAAAAAAAACATTCAATTGTTTTTTATATAAATAACACAATTTTTACTTGTATCCTGAGACGTAAACATTTAATAAAAAAAAATTGATGAAGCCCCCTTTTAATCATAAAAATTACTTTAGCATAAAATCTTATATAAAATTCTCGTGTCACAATGTCACCATATACGAAACGGCTTGCCCGATTTTTCATGAAATTTTACATGCATATTCAGTAGGTCTGAGAAAAAATAGATTACCTGCCCGTAATAATACCCGATCTATTTTTCATACCCCTAAGTGATAAGGGTTGTGCACCCTTAACATTATTCTTAAATATTTTGGATATTTTTTTTGTAATGTGGCATTACAAATACATACAACCCCAAATTTTCACCCTTCTACCACCAACCCCTACTTTTAATAGCGATTTTAATTTATATGGCAAAACAACGTTTGCAGTTGCTGGCTGTTATAGTTACGTTGTACTTACCATAATTTGTAACATTAGTAAAACAACCAGCATGACATTCAATATAATTTGAAAATTGAAAATATTTTTAAATATTGACTCGCACTGTTTTGTGCATCTGAAAAAGAATAAAATGTACATTATGGTATATATAGTGTTATTAACAGTCTGGTCAAATTCTGACTTCAGTACACACTTCTCGTAGATGCCGTAATTGTAAAATAGAGATCCCTACCTCTATTTTTTAAAATTGAAATAATACCTATGGCGGCTTTGGCAGTTGACAGCTCAGCTGATTACCATAATTGGCAACCGTCCTAGGGATACACCTAATAGTAAAAAAAGTAAAGTGATTATCGCCGCCCATGAGCTCCCATCACCAGAGGAATTGCAAGTGTGTTGCCGGCTTTTTAAGAAAGAATACCTTTTTTTCTTGAAGGTTACAATATCGTATCGGTTCGCTAATACCATTACTGAATGTAATACCTATCTATCTCAAAGTTGAAGTGATTGTTTGTGACTAAAAGCTTACATTAACGGCACCACGGACATCATGTAACCCCCTTAGTATACTCCTCATGCGTTGCCATTGTAGAAAACTAAAATGTTTTAACTGCGAACCCAGTAATTGTACTAACATACTCGTATCTCACACTCTAAGCGAAATAGCTTTTAAAGCAAGCTGGCATCGGAATATGTGAGATAAAAATGTCCAAGTAGAACACCTCAGTCTATCTTATGACATGAATGACATGAAGTCACCAATTTGATCAATTGCTGACTTGCGACTGCAAAAGACCATAGTCCACCTACTTTCCTATCCTTTCGCCCCATCATTCTGAACAAAAGAAGACTTAAAAAATGCGTAGACTCAATAACGGAATTTGATCACCATTAGAGAAGATCATAACTGTAATTAAATTTCCGCACTGAATATTTGTGGCCTAATTCATGCTAATTCTAGCGCAATATAAATCCATTAAGTAGTTAAAAACTGCGACCAAATGTGCTAAAGTCATCGCAAATTTCTGAGGTAAAAACATATTATAGTTGCCTTTGAATCGAAAGAAGAAAAAGACCAATTGACTTATTCTTAGGTACTCACCGCATTGTCTGCACATGCAGATCGATTCCAATGATTAAAGCTTTCTCATATTTTCTTTCTTTCTCTATTTGACTTATATTCTCGTCAAATATTTTACTGAGATTCCTGAAGTATATATTCAGATTAGTGTACTGATGACTGAGGCATACCAAGAATAGTACAACCGTCACATATATCCCGGACGCCTTGTCCAGGAGCATAAATAGAAATATATAGTTGGCAATTCTACCGACATTCGCAATTGTAGACCTGTCTTCCAGGTCCGGCCAAGCCGAGAGTGGTTTCGTAAATGTTGCACCTAAAATTTTAAACCACCATTATAATTCTTATGGAGAGGAAGAGGAGAGGATTGTTAGTAATTGGGGCAAGTAACCTCATTCCTCTTTACAATTTTATTATTACCTTGTAGCGTTGATGGGTATCACTCACCACTGTAGCGTTATGTATGATGTTTACTTCGATCGATCCGCCCTCCAATTCAAACTAGGCCCCTCCGATCGATCGATTGGACGGGACCAATTCAAACGGGGATCGAAATTACACGACCTAACCCGAGGTTCGAACTCTTAGCGGTGCCCTCAGACTAAAAGTCGTATCCGTCAGGCGGGAGTTGGCCTTCAGCCGCTCCATAAGTCCTTCCTTTGTTTGGAATGCCATTTGCACTCGCGCCCTATCGTCCGATGAAGCAGTAAAGGCCAAATGCGGCCAAAAGCATTTGAGTAGTCTGAAAAAAACTACAGGTAGTATCTAGATAGTGAGTACAACTGGAATGATTGCACTACATTTGTAAGTATGCTACATGACTTATTAGTAACGCATCTGCTCAAGGCGGAATCGTAATGCGGACTGATTTTATACCTACTGAAGAAAGAAATTTATGTAATGTGGAGATTTAAACAAATAGAAGGGTACGAAATGTCATCTGAAATATTATAAGTACTAGTAATGTCGATATTCAAGCAATCAACCAACTAAAATCATTGTTAATTCCTAATAAATTCGCCACGATATGCTAACTAACTTGACTTCATGCGCACTGCGCACCGTTTATTAGAAATAGGAATATAAAAATTCCTTATCCGAATTAACTCAGATCACACTTTTTTTAATCTACCACTCATTGGGAAGACATTCTCAGAATAAGAACTAGCAGACGCTCTACTATTGTAATTTTGAACAAATGTTGAGGATCGTCCGCCGCGAACTCCATATATATTACTTTTATTTTAAAATTCATAATTTTTTACCAGTTCTTTTTATAGGACATTTTTTTATATAATATTTTGATTTACTGTGGTAAGCATCTACATTGCAACATAAAATTTTATAGAAATCTACGTGTTTCATTATATAGATGGCCATACAACCCACTGATTGTTTAAAAATATTGTATCTAACTTCATAATTACTTAAAATTTGTTTCACATAAAATCATATTATTGTACAAACATTAATCTGTTCAAAAGAGCGCCATTCAAGTTTTTTTACACATTCTTCTTAGTTGAATCAACACAATCAGTTCGAAATGTGGCGTATTACCTAATAACAAAGAGTTAACTTTTTTGAATAAAGAATTATTTCTCTAAGGCGCCTCTTACAATATATATAGATAAAAATAACACCTACCTACCTATTTCCGTAATTACATGTAGTATTTTGCGAGTACAGAAACTAGTATCTATTATTTAAAAAATAATCAGAAATTTAAAATTCGAAACAAAAATATAACCGCGTTTTCTGCTGCAGTTACGTAGTTTATCTTTTTCTTAATTACAAACCTGTTGTTATGACTTGAAAATAAGCATCGAGGCCAAAGAAAATAGCTGACACGGTCACAGCAATAAAAAACGACATCGAAAAAAAGGTGCACTTCTTTATTAATTTCTTCTCAACGTCACGGTCATTGTATATTTTTTTTAATGTCACCATCATCGTATAGAGAATTTGTTTACTTTTCTCTTGATAATATTCAATATTTACTATAAACGTAAGTAAATATGGATGAGTGAAATTGAATATTAATCTGTCAATACGTTGCTTCTCTGTTAAATTACTCTGAGTGAAGAATGCACCCCATTCCATTGCAACGAAAATGAACATTACAATGTTACTTAGTATTCTATACGCGTCGCATAGTCTAACTACAAGTTTTGGTAAAACAAACTCATGTGTCCATATAGTTGGTATGCCGTAAAACAAGAATATTTTGTTTATTCTGAAAAAAAAATGCAATACGCTATACGAAACTAAAGTGGCGGATTTTTTTAAAGTTCCATTTTTATTTTCCACGTTTTTTTCGTGTTCGGACATTGTAAACCTGTGTAGATTGTTACTTAGATATTATAGATATGGTAGTTCATTCAGCGAGCTGGTAGTTGGCTAGCTTACTTTATATTGATGAATTCAGTGTAATAATGTAATTATTTTCAATTGTAAATATCTAACCATTAAAACAGGGTCGTATTCGGAATTTAGAATACAAAATGCAGTAAAATATTTTCATTCTTGTGAATTAAAGTATAGACAAAATCTATTAAAAATGTTAAGATTTCTCAATTGAAATCTGTTAACATATACACTTTTGACTATGTATAATATAGGTACTAGTACTTAGTTATTTATTACTATTAAAAATTAATACTAACTAACATATTATAGAATTAAAAAAAAATAGTCCATTGAGTTCTTCGGAGTAGAACTCAATGGACTATTTTTTTTTAAATTTAATGTTACTTAAAAAATATCCATTGAGTTCTACCCCGATTGTTATTAACATATCGGCAATCATTTTTCAAATTGCTTGTATTAAAACATTAACTAATAATATATACTCACTATATAGTTTGCTATTATATCTATTACTGCTACCTAATAACATAATTATCTTATCAAGTTATTAAATACTTACGTAGAAGAACAATTAAAAGGTATATCTCCATTTTGAGGTAGTATGAGGGCAGGTAATAACAAATAATTATAACCCTTTACAAATGGAGGTAATTGATAATAATTTTCTACTTATATTGTGATATGATAAATAACCTTCATATGAGACAGCGAGATGATTAATGTTGATTTTTCACTTGATTATTTTAACAGTTCAAATCCACAAATTTTAGAGAACTGTTTTCATAAATAAATAAGAAGTTTATTTGAATTCTCACAAATCATAATAATATTTAACAATAATAATGTTTTTATAGAAAAACTTAAAATCCATAGCACTGACAATATTATCTGATTACACTAATAATGATTGCGTAGCGATTTGTTGATTATCGCATGCCTCTTACTTGTTATACTGTAATTGTAATTGTTTATATGAAAAAACATCTAGTCAAAAGAGCAACACACAAGTGTCTTGCTCATTCTTCTTGTGATGAATCTGTATTCCGAATGAGTGGTAGAATCAAAATATGACTATTCAAAAATGCTTGTAATGAGTTTATTTGAATAAAGATTATTTCTATTTCACAAATTATTACACTTAAATTGTGGACAATCCATAGATCGCCATAATAATTAACAAGTATTTGTCATACGTGATCCGTAGAAATATATTGACAGATTGTTCAAAATGTTATTTTCGTTTTCTACAAAAAATACATATACGTGCAACGTAATGATTTTTAATTTTTTTTCTATGTTATTCTTATTAATATTTTCTTTTTTCTTGTTTAATCCTTACCACTTCGTTAAAATTATATCAAATTATACTATGAACTATTTACATTATTTTTATTATACACACACCGCACAGACAGTCACAATAATATTGCTCTTTTTATTTTATATTTATTTTAATTATTATTTTCACGTACCCGCAAATGGATTGAAGCTGAAAATAGAATAGAATAGAAATCATTTATTCAAATAAACTTACATTAAAGCACTTTTGTGCTTTGTTATGAACAATTTTTTAATCTACCGCTCATTCGGAAAGCTGTCTCATCACAAGAAGAACGAGCAAGAAACTTGCGTGTTGCTCTTTTAAATAATTTTATTATTACTTTACATTTTTAAGTTTAAGTGTGTGAATACAAACCACCAATTAGCACATCATTGTTTTGTTCCCTGAACAATGTTCCACGCTGAGCTTCGACCTTTTTGTATTGCTACATATCACACAAACTTGTAAATCTTATGTCGTATTATGTATTATCTATTCTTATGAACATGTTGTGTGTGATTAGTAACAAACAAATAAACGATATATCTATCTATCTATTACTAGCTTTTACCCGCGGCTTCGCTCGCATTGAAGCCATTGAATAAAAAATATTCGTTTTTTTAAATAAAAAGTATCCTATGTTCATTCTAATAACTCAAAGAACATGTGTAAAAGATTTTATGATGATCGGTTCAGTAGTTTTTTTTTTACGTGACAGCGTAACAGACATCCCAACTTTCACATCTATACATATCAATAAAATTTGATTGTCTGTTTGTAATATTGAAATAACCGTTTTTTACTACACGCATATGAATATAAATACGCCACATACACCAAAATAACATTTTTTCCAATTTTTGTCTGTTTTTGTCTGTCCGACTAATCTCTGAAATGGCTGACCGATTTTGACGGGACTTTTTTTGGCAGGTAGCTGATGTAATAAGGAGTAACTTAAGCTACTTTTATTTTAGAAAAATAATTTCAAATTCCACGCGGACGAATTCGCAAGAACAGCTAGTTTATAATACTAGTAAGGATGTCAATCAGTTATCTTATTCACAGTCACATCCAGAATGTAAATAATAAATACTTAAACTGTTGGTATCTTATTAAAACTTAGGAGTTATTTTACGGAAGTCCATTTCTTTATGTAATCATATTAGTTACATATATAATTTAATATACGCCATCGGAGAGCTGGACGCCGTAGGAGAGATTATAATATCCTGTGACCTCTATATTTGAACCACAGAGTAGTGCACGCGAGGGCGTGCGTTCTCTGTAAAACGGGTTCTATAAAGATATGCGCGTGTACCTTCGCGTACCTTCTAAACACCTTTAGAAAAAGATATGCGCGTGTTCAAAAGATGTTTAGAAGGTACGCCCTTCTAAACATCTTTTGAAGGTTTGTAATAAGTTCTTAAAATGAGAAGGGGTCGCTCTAAACACCTCACAGAGCTGGCCGTCGCTACAGCTGTCGCGGTAGAATATGAATATACTTCCCATAGCATGCTGACTTGGGTAACGAGGAACACCGTGGAGTTTTTAGTGAGTACGAATCTCACATATCCCACCGGACGGGACAGGTGGACGATTTATGAAGGTTTTCTCCACGTTAAAAAAAAAGGTACATATATAATTTTCTATAGATTTTTTAAATATTGAAATTTATTTTTATATTTGAATGCTTTGCTATTTTTTAAAATTACATAAATTTAAAATGCTTTAAAGTCGTAAAACCTGTGCCTGTCTTCCATAGAGGCTCCACTCTTCCATAGCTTATTTATATTTATTATATATTATATGTGTTTGATCTACAAATATTAAATAGATACAGCAATGATGGTATGTCCGTAGTGCTTTTCATGTATATAGGCGACTGTTACCGCTTACCATCAGGTGGGGCGTAAGCTTGTTTGCCATTCTTATTAAAAAAAAAATAGTCCATAGAGTTCTACTCCGGTTGATTAATATTTGCAACCATGATTAAAATTGCTTGTATTAATTAATTACTATTTTTTTAATTAAAAAGTATGGTCTTGTTTTTTTAAAAAAACATTGTCCATAGAGTTCTATTCCGATTGATTAATATATCGGCAACCATTGTTCAAATTGCTTGTGTTAATTAATTACTATTTTTTTTTAATTTCATAAGAATGGTCTTGTTCAATTAAAAAAAATAGTCCATAGAGTTCTACCCCGGTTGTTATTTAAACTGATTATAAATATTAAATAATCAAAGGCAAAAATATTTATTTATATAGAACCTCTCGGCCTTCATGCTTGTCGTGATTTTTTATCACTATCCTTAACAAAAAAATATATACCAACATGTAGGTCAGGTTTCCACCCTGCGTGTGGTGTGTGTTATTTTATTATTATTTTGTTTTATTTGTTTTTTCCACAGACAGCGGTCTGTGTCTTTGTTAATTTTATCTATCTCTATTACAATTTTATTTTATTAACATTTTAAGATATATCGCACTATGAGAATGTTGAGATGGATGTGTGATGTGACAAGAATGGATGAGATAAAGAATGTATACATTAGAGGAAGTATGAAAGTGGCGCTGGTGTCAGAGAGGTTGAAGAGTAATCGTCTATCATGGTATGGACATGTAATGCGTAGGAATGAAGATCATATCTTAAGAAAGGTGTTACATATGAATGTGGATGATTATAAGGGCAGAGGAAGACCGAAAAAAAGATGGATGGACTGTGTGAAAGATGATATGGTAAGAAAGGAAGTAAATAACGCGATGACTGCGAACAGGGATGAATGGAAGAGAAAAACATATTACGCCGACCACAAATAAATGGGATAAGGAAGAAGCAGATGATGATGTGAAAATATGTTGAAAATAAAAATAAATATACAAAATTTTAATAGCATTTTGAATTCATAAATATTTAAACTAAGCGTGTGACTAAACTACTAAACTAAATAGTTAAAAAGGACTTAACTTACAAGTTAATGAAAACACGACATATAATTTTTATTTTATTTATTTATTCAAGTACTACAATATCTTACTGTCGTTTATTTGTATATACAGTATTGTTATAGATTATTTATATTATTAACCGGGTCTTAACACGAATATTTTTATAGCAAATAAAGGTATTTACCTCTCTCGACGTTTCGACTAGCCGTGCAATAGCCGTGGTCCACGAGCCGACAGTCAGAGATCAGTCGGCTCGTGACCACGGCTGATATAATTTGTATATTAAATGTATTAAACACGAAAGTTTATAAATAACATTATTATATTGTCACTTATTCTGAACTGTTGACGTCATGGTAGACGTAACACTTGTGCTTACTTGTGAAATTCTTATCAATTTCAGTACAGCACTGAGAATACGGAGTACGATGACTTGACGATCTAAAACACAATTAAAAATATTTAGTACACTAATAACATAACTATGTATATATCTAAAAATATATAACTCAAAGGTGACTGACATAGTGATCTATCAACGCACAGCCCAAACCACTGGACAGATCGGGCTGAAATTTGGCATGCAGGTAGATGTTATGACGTAGGCATCAGCTAAGAAAGGATTTTGATTAATTCTACCCCTAAGGGTATAAATTAACGCGAGCGAAGCCGCGGGCAAAAGCTAGTCTGGTTATAATTGTCATTATTCTATACTAGCTTTTACCCATCACTTCGTCTGCGATTTTAAACATAAATTATCCTAGTTGAAGATGATAGGAAGAGAATGAAGAAAAAGAAACCGTCATGTTAAATTTCTGGTGAATTTGTCACGATGGGGTAGTTGACCTGGCCTCATACTCATCTTATCATCCTCCACTGGTGCCCCGCCAGCGTATACCGTTAGCGCAGGCTGGTGCACCATTCAATTATCATCACTTAAAAAAACTGATATGTTTAATAGATGTGGTTTTTTATATATATGTAATTGCTTAGTAAAACACGAGACATGCAGTTGGTTTAATATGAATTCTTACCGATAAATACGACTGATACGAGATCTCAATAACGCCCATACCGCGGATTATCACTGGTTTCTGAAAACAGAGGTAGCATAGTCTATTTCGATCGCACACAGCGCCATCTAGTTCCAAACTATGTAGAGCGATTACTAAGCGCACTAAACAAGCAAAAATTGAAGTTGGAAATTTAATTTAAACTGCATATAATGATAACTGAGAACAATTTGCACAGCGCCATCTAGTCTCAAGCTAAGCAGACCTTAAGTCGTGGGTACTAAATAAGGGAAATAAATACCTACATATTTATTTTTATTTTGTATAAACATCATACTCATGTATAGAAATTATTGTACCGTGCGAGGATTTGAACCCGCAAGCATCGGAAACGTTTCCGAGTTTTTGGGTTTTAAATACTTAAACGTATTATATTCACTCGATCACTCTTTCTTCTTGAATGCATGACCAAAGAGGTCAGAAACCATACTATATCAGAAATATCGATAAATGACGGCCTGAGGCGAGGCTCGAACACCTAGCGATGCCCTTAGACTAAAGACGTATCCGTCAGGCGCGATTTAACCTTTAGCCGCTCTATAAGTTCTTCCACGGGTTTGGAGTGCCATCTGGCCTATCATTCGGTGAAGTTGCAAGAGCCAGCTGCGGCCAACAACATTAGAATAGTCCATAAAAAAAACACTAGTATTTACCTGAGCCTGCATCATGGCCAGGACCAACAGCTTCCGCACTCGTACTGCACACCTGCGTGTACAGTTCTCCCAACCTGAACTGTACATAGCTGTTGCTAGTTTTGATGCCTGCGGGTACAGTTTAGAAAAAGTCAATAGATCTTTTATGGGTATAGGTATAAAAATTTACAATAAGATACCAAAGGATATTCTCGATTTTAAATAAATTCAAAACATCTGTTAAATCATATTTACTGAGCAAAGTCACTAAACTTTACTTGAATGACGAGCGTACATGGCAATAGTTGTTCATGCACGGGATTTTTATTCAATGTTAGACATAGACACCTATATAAGTACACATTTGGATCTATATACTGAACTGGACCGTAGGGAAAAAATTTGAACTGGACTTGGAACTCCCGCCACTTTAGTCGCTTATGACACATAAGCGACTAAAGTGGCGAGTATAGAGTTCTATCATCAATAGTTTTCGCAGAGCACACGTATTTTTTTATGTATTTTTTGCACTTTGGGTTACATTATTGGAGTTATCGTAAGGATTCATATTTTTTGGAAATATAATATAGCCTATGTCACCCAGGGATAGTGTAGCTTCCTAATGGTGAAAGAATTTTTCAAATTGGTCCAGTAGTTTCGGAGCCTACTCAATACAAACGAACAAACCTTTCCTCTTTATAATTTTTTTTATACTTACGCCTTTATTTCCATGACTGACTGTAGGTCCATGCAGTTAACTGCATTTTTTTTTATTGATTTATTTAGTTTCCTCGATTTTATTGCACCGCGAATAATATACATTGTGGCTTCCCGTAGTTTATCTTATGTTTTTTTAAAATATTAGTTTAGATAACAATAAATTTGATATAAACTTGGTAGCGAACTAGAAATAAATTTAATTTGACCTCAACTGTGACGTCTCCAGCATTCCACATGAAGAAACCAGTGGAGAACAGCAGTGAGACGGAAGTAGTGGCTGCCACGAACAATGTGCCCAGACTCCTCTCGGAAGCCTGTAACATGAATGACTACGTAGTAATTCTGGTACCATTAAAGTTCTAGATTACGTTCTAAAGTAGTCAACTTATTATGGGAACATTTATGTTTTACAAAAGAAATAACGGCATTAAATATTACGAACTAACAAACGACTTTATTAAATTTATATGCAGTCGAAGTGGGAGTGAGTGAAATACTTGCGAAATCTTTTTCAACTCTGTTTTCCTCTAAAAGATCTTGACCTGTTTACAACTGCAGTAACTACAGAAATTACTACAGATTTGTCTAAGCAGGGAGAGAAACGAAATAAAGGGCCTCTTAAACCTATACCCGCATCACAAGTCCCGGAAACTGCTCGGAGTTTCCCTCGAGTATTAGAAGATTCTTAGTCTTATTTTTAACAAAACAAGTCAATGACGTATCTATATGATGTGTTAACAAATGTTATCGGTATTTCAAGACTTCTTAGATTTTAGAGAAGATTATTGGTGATGCAGGATACCCACCACTAATTGAGACATGAGGAGCACCAGCACTTGAACGTTGACCATTATTTGACCAACGAAGATGGCGCTGCACACGTCCTGATTGTGGCGTGCGCACCTTAAAATAAAATAAAACTTTATTAATTTATTACAACTTATCTACTAGATTATTCCTCAGATTTGCAAGATTTTGTGTAAGAAGTTGTCTTTTACCATCATATGTATATTTATACACTAGCTGTCTCGGCAAAGATTGTTTTACCATATAAATTAAATACGCTATTAAACAAAAAATATATACAACCCTAAATTTTTACCCTTCTACCAGGTGAAAATTTGGGGTTATATGTATTTTTTAATAATACACAAAAAATAAATGTTAGGATACACAACCCTTATCACTTAGGAGTATAAAAAGTAGATAGATCTCGATTCTGAGACATTACTGGATGTGCATAAAAAATTTAATAAAAATCGGTCAAGTCGAAGGTAGTCATTTCGGAGGAATATGATATCTAACATTTTTTTTTATATATCTAACATTGTAACATGAGAATTTTTTATATCCTTCTTTATATCACAGATAATACAATATTACATTCTATAGCATGAATTTTCCCGCTAACATACGCCATCAAGGCACAAGATATTTTGGACTACATTAGGACCAAGAGTATTGCGGGCATTGAGGGTACTGCAGTTGGAGTTGAATCAAAACCCAGTTTTAAGGCTTTTGTGACTAGACCCCACTGATATCCTGTCCACCATCAACCTACACCTATCCACCGTAAAAATATTTGTCTGTCTGTCAGTTTGTTCTTGCTAATCTCTGAAACTCGCAGGTAGATAAAGTTATAAGTTATAATTTTAAAGTTTTAACAATTGTAATAAAAAAGAAATCAAATCCGCGCTGAAGTAGTCACGGGTAAAACCTAATATTATACCTCTGTTTCAATGAAAGAACCATTCTCGCCCTTTAATTGAAACAGAGCTTACATAGCCTCCTAACGGCTGAAATATGTATACAAAGAACTTTCTAGAAACTCTACGTCGATACAGATGTAATTACCTACATACCTTATAGTCATCGCATGTTGCCCTATCCCAATCACGAATCCCTCTTCGTATTTCTCATCCATTTTGTCGGGCGATAACTTGTTATCCTCAAAAATGGCGGCAAGAGAGTGGAAGTAAGTTCTTAATTGTATGTATTGGTGGCTCAGGCAAACGTTTATTGGGATTATAAGTAAATACGCACTAAATACTCGGAACATGAAGACCCACCAAATGACATACGTGACCACTCGGAACATGTGCGCGTTTTGTCGTGTATCGTTCACGTCAGGCCATGCTGTTATAACTGTAGTAAAAGACGCTCCTGGAAATTCAAATAAACATTCAAGGAATAATGAAAATTATTTATATAAAAAAAATCTATTTAAAAGAGCAACACACAAGTTTCTTACTAATTCTTATTTTGAATCTGCGGTCGGAATGAGTGCCAGATTCAAATTCAAAAAAATTCAATAATGCTTGTACTGAGTTTACAAGCACTTTTGAATTTTTTTGAATTTGAATCTGCCATTTCAATATAAACATTATTTCGTAGCAATATAGGTACAGTTATATAGAATATGCAATGGGCTGTGTGTTCTGAGATATAAAAAAAATGTGAGATAGGTAGACAGTATATTATTTTATACAGTTTACTTCATTCCATTCATTATACAGTATGTAATTTCTTTCTTACCTGTATTTAAATACTGCGTAGCTCCATCAATCCCGTACATCACCATTGCCATGGAACATATTCCTATACATCCAACGCAATACAATTTTCCCTTTCGAATCATACTAATTTCGATATTGTGATAATTGTACTCAGTTTTTAATGTTACAGTGAGACTGTACAGTAGATCTTTGATCTTGTGCATATTACGGTTCATAAAAAAGGTATAACTAAAGAGTAGGGGATGAGAAAATGTGAACAGGAGTCTGTCTGTGCTCTGTTTCTCTGACAATGATGGCTGAGTAAAAAAAGCGCCGTATTCCAATATTAGAAAAATATATAATAATGCAGTGACGAATCTCGTGAAATATGTATATGATATTATGAGTGTTCTGGATAGTTTCAAGTCCTCTATCCAGAAATTTGGTAAACCCCAAAAAAATATAATGTGACATAGTTTTGAGAAGTATTTGGTAGTCAAATTTGATTGGTACGGTCCATATGACTCGCCCATTGTCGTTGCTTGATGAAAACTCACTTTCCAGTGTTGTAAGGACGCAAACACATTGCTACATATATGTAGTTCCTAGGTAATAATTAGACAGCTATTTAAAAATGTCTATTAGATAATTATATGTAGATTAAAAACCCCTTGCCGCATAATTATATCTTATGGAAGTGTAGAAAAAAATTACTAAGAAATTATGTATTTCAAAAATGAATCTAATGTGATTAATGACAATAAATATAGTTAAAATACGAAATCACATAGTGTGATGTGATATGATGTTAATAAAGAGGATTTAAATTTGCAATATTAATTATAATTTAATGAACTGTTTATATAGCATAGGCAGTTTTCTTTTTTCTATAATTATGCTTTACATTCTTGCAATAAAATATTTTTATATTACTATTACTACTAGCTTTGCCAAATCGCGTGAAATTTGTGTTATTCTGACGTATAATCTATGTCAGTGGCGGGCTTAGGGGATGGCGAACAGGGTTGCCGCACGGGGCCTCTTGCAGGGCCCTCGCGTAACAACCCAAGCAAATTTTAATCAACTGTGCCTACACTTGTAAACACTTGAGACCCTTCTATTAGTTTACGTCTCCGCTAACATAGATTTAAGTTCAATGTAAAATCAGTCTACGTCCCAACTCCGCGTCGACTGTATGCGTTATTAATGAGCCATACTACCAATAAACTTAATAATGTAATCGTGCAATCATTTCACCAGTATACTCACTACCTATATACTACAATAAAAAATATATTATGTAGCGACACCTCATCACAACATATATAACGGTACAGTGGTAAGGATAACCACCGCGTTACAGAACCAGTGAGTGCCTCGCAAAGACTGCTGCCCGGAGACATGCAATGGGTAAAACCGCCACTGATCTATGGAAGTTTTAATCAAAATCCGTTCAGTACATTTTGCGTGAAAGAATAACAAACATCTATCCATTCAGACTCACAAACTTTCGCGTTTATAATATTAATGAAAATATATAAGAGGAGATCAAATTATATAGAGATGATAAAGCACATCAAACCTGATATCATGTACCTACCATCCATTCACGTGTAGGAACATCGAATGAACCTACCATCAATGCTTTCAACATCTGCTACAATCAGGTGTAAAAATTCGCAGAAATTACAAAAGAAAAAACATAATAAGAGCCGCTTTCTGCAAAGCTACGGAAATGAGTTAGTAGTTAATTCATAGAAATAAAACTCAATGGTTAAATCAATACCAATTTCCAATTATAGTGGGACAATTCACACATCATCTAGTCCCAAGCTAAGCATACCTTGTGTTATAGGTACAACAGGTATAAGACAACTGATATAAATACTTGAATACTTGCGAGGAATCGAACCCGCGAAAATCGTATGTAAAACGATATGCTTGATCTCGGTGCTTATGTGGTTAAAATCGAAATTCGATTTTCGAACTCGAATATTGACAAATTTATTATTTTATTCGAATATTTTACAATTAATATATAGGTATAGATACTAAACAAATATATTAACATATCTAAGTACGTGTAATTTTTACACGTACTTAGATATGACAATTTATTTGTTTAGTATCTATCATTCAGCAATACGAGTTCGGCCTCGTCTATCCTTACGATACAAAAATAAGTTTTTTTTAATTAATATATCTTTTACACGCAAAAGACACGTAGCATTCGGCAATACGAGTTCGACTTCGTCTGTCGTCTGAGAATAGGTCATTTTTTTAATTAACATATCTTTTACACGTAAAAAACAACTAGCATTCAGCAATACGAGTTCGGCCTCGTCTGTCCATACGATACGAGAATAGGTCTTTTTTTTAATTGTCGTTAATAACATTCTGCTGTTTTATAACTTAATTAGCTGTAATTGTCATACGTTTATGTCACTTTTAAAGCGATGATGCGACAGTAATGTGTAATGAATAATTAATTTTAACCCAATGTACGTTTTAGACTTACCTCAAAGCGTCGTAGCTTAGTGGTTTACTGCGCTGACTTACAGTGAACGGTCGTGAATTCTATTCATAGCCGAAGAGACTGTGTCAGGAACATAAACGGAATAATAAACAAAAGGACAGAATTACTGAAGTACCAACAGATCCAGTCATCAGATAAGGAAGGGATTTTTTTTTTATAGGATTATTACGAAATGGTGCATTCGCTTGTGGAAAAGGGTTAATCTGGTGCGGCGCTAGTGAAGGATGATAGGATAAGCATATCAGGTCAGTCATGACAAATTCACCAGACATTTATCACGATGGTTTCTTGGCATTGTATGGTACATTTCTATGGTTAGGTAATAAAAAGCAATAGTCATTACTCATTATAATTTTGTTTTCAATAGTAAATATACATTCAAACTTCATGATATAAAATACACACTTCCAATAATATCACAATTTACACTGACTAAATGCAAACGTTTATAAAAAATATACCTACATGAACATTGTCTTTATTAAGCCATGTAATTATGGGTAATAATTGAAAATTTATAGAAAAACGCTAGATTCTAAGGCACCATGATGAAATTGATAAATTCTAGAGCAGTGATTCCCAAAGTGGTCTATATCGACCCCCAGGGGTCTATGACAAACTGCAAGGGGTCTACGACAGCGGTTTGTTACTTTATGTTTTTAACACTAAACTTTAGTACAGTTAGAAATTTACAAAAAATCAATACCAGGTAAATCTTCCCAAAACTGAACAACATGGCAAGGGAAAAACAAAAAAGTTTGTGAACCTCTGTTCTAGAACCTACTCATTATAAACCCAGCAACGAGAATTTCTTTAAACTATATATATAATATCTCTCTTGTAAAAGCCATAATAAAACATAAACATAATAAATATATTTTAACTTGTAGTCGCCAGTGGACGAAACAATACAAATTCATTAAGTAATGAAATTGGCTTTTGTAAAATAACACTTAATTGGAAAAGACACATTGTGATGTCTGTCCTATCATAATTGAGTACTTCCACAGCTTCACAACATTGTGGCAATTATGCAAGCACCACAAACCATAAGTATTACATTCCTCCTAGAAATAAGGGAAGACTAAAACTAGTAGTAGTAGGTACATCAAAATTGGAAATTATTAGAACAATATACAATTACAACATGTTTATAAAACTGTAGGGTAATTCAGGTGGATATGGTCACACTGGACAAATGTCCAATAGAAAACAGTCCAAGCAATAATAAACAGATATTAATCTTTCGCTAAGATACCAGCAGTAATAGCAGTGGATTTTTGTACAAAAGAAATAGTAAATGTGAGTAATTTAATTATATTTTTTTAAAACATGATCAATTTAATTTACAGGTTTGATATATCGTCGGTTAAATAGAAAAATGGCACTATTCAAAACGGACATTTTTTACAAGACAAACATTTAAAGTTTTTAAATTTAATTAAATTATTATTTTTCATTTAAAGTTTTAACAAAAAATTACACAAGTATTATATATAATTTAAGTGTTTAGATAATGATTAAGACGACGTGGAGAATTTAATTGACTTATATAAAATGAGGCAATTCTAGCTCCTAATTTTAATAAATGTCATTTTTCTATTTAATCAACGATTAACATCTACTTGCTTTTAAGAGTAAAACGCGGGAAGTGTTTGTCCATACAACAAGTTCTTTTTTTCTCTTTGGATAATGACAGTAGAGTAAATATGTATTTACTACAAAATTTACATATATTAGATTATTAATTGATTATTATTATTATTATTATCATTATACAAAAATTCTCATCTCCCCTCTTAAGGAGAGGAGATGAGATATTATTATTATTATTACTAAGGCATCAGATAGTACTGCAATAGTCAAAAACCTATTTTTTAAAAGTTCGACGTCTGCGTTTCCTCTTAAGAGAAATAAGGGTCTAGGCAAAATTTAATGAGTTTTGAACACTTAGACAGTATCAAAATAAAATAAAAAAAGAAATTTCAACACTACAATCTGCCAATATAAGGCATAGAGCCGCAAATGTATTTATAATAATCACGGGACCTAACCACGTTTTATTTTTATTGAATTCCCGATATTTCGGCAGTGTTAATATTGTTTATAAATGGCTATGATTACTTTTAATACAGAAATATATCATTAATATAAATAATATTTCTGCATTAAAAAAAAAATTACGCGCCAAACTAATGGACAACTGGCTCATCGATGTGGCTGATACCATGATCAGCTTTAAAATATTAATTAATTAATATAAACTCTGTCATGCAGATAAAATATATTAATTACATAAGGTTATCTTAAGGTTCCGACCAGGGGCTCTAGAAGCGTATTTTACGCAAAATAATACATTATTTGCTTTATATAATCCGCCGAATTTAATAGACCTCCCGTGTAATATTAACTGATTATTTTTAAATGCTCTGAATTTCCGCTTCCCGTTCTGCAACACTTCCGGTATGTTTGCGGAAGTTACAACCGATGGTCTCGCTACCATTATACGCAATAATACTGCATATTTTTTAAGCAGAGGGCTCAATAAATAGCTGCCTTTACACGCTCTTTCAAGCGGGAAAGAATGTTTATGTAAATATCGATAAAGAGCACGAGAAAGACCGTGCGAGCCGCCAGCGCCAGCTCGCGCACTCCCGCGTTAAATAAATAAGTCTTAAATAAATAAATCGTGTGACTTTTTTTTTAATAATTAACTGTCATTACAAAATAACGACATTTGATTTACGAGCAAAAACATAATTATCGAGTTATTGACAATATCTAAATCTTATTTGTCTCTGGACAACAAAATATGTGAAATAAAAACAAAACGTTACAAAATGTAATGACATGAATAAATATTTGCATATACGTGAACGAGTGAACAAAAAAAATGATTATATGCATTCGCGATTGCGCGCGCTTGCATTCGCGATTGCGCGGCCTTGCCATCGCGCGCGCTCCTGATCGCGCGTGAATGAATGTGTTGAGTAAAGTTAGTGGGATGAAAAAATAATTAGTATTGCAGTATTACGAGAACTATATCAATTAAGTAATTGTACAACACTTATTAAATTATTATGTGCAATGCAATACTTTCACTTAGTTTCAACATAGCTTTTAAGTTACTCTTTTAACACAAATGGATGCTGTTATTAAATTGGCGGGTTATTCTAAGCAAATATGATTTGCATGTGATCGTGTAAAGTGACATTTTTGACCCCCGTGGTCACTAGCTGGCTGACCTCGTCTATCGATGTAACCACAGATAAATTATCAGATTTTACTAACATAAATTCCCGTCACTAAAACTCATGCAAACGGTCTAGAAAATAATAAATATATATTTATTTCAGAGGTAATTATAGTTTATTGAGACAGTTCCAGCGTGGCGTTTCCCTCATTGTGTACAGAGCGATTTTTAATTGATAGTAAGTAATTTAAGTAAGTACTAAATACTACAATATGAGCAACTGTATGTGGATTCATAATTCTTAGGAATTGCAACGTAATTGATGACCGTCACGCTTTTCATTTAAATGTACAGTAAAACCCTCTTAACTCGGGGGATACGTTCTTAGCGGGGTCTTACTGCATTGTCAAAGATTGCGAGTATATATATTTGTAACTCTTTCATTCGTTTCTTGAACTAGTACATATTTAGAACAGTACATATTTGGAAACCTAGCGCTGTACACAACTTCGGGGATTCTCCGGGTTGAAATAAAGGAGCGTTAAGCGAGGTCTTACTGTATATTATATATGTGGACAGCATCTCATCAACATATATAGGTTTCGATAGTATAAAACAAAGTCGCTGTCGCTGTCTGTCCGTCCCTATGTATGCTTAAATCTTTAAAACTACGCAACGGATTTTGAAGTGGTTTTTTTAATAGAGTGATTCAAGAGGATGGTTTATATGTATAATAAATGTACACCCGTGCGAAGCCGGAGTACATATATTATACATACGGGGGTACCTAATATAATATAAATTCATTAAGTAATAAACTTTTTAGCCCAATCACAAAAACCTGAACAAAAAACTGTCGCGTTGTAAAATATAAAACATGACTGTAAAAATAAACAAACTTGTGTAATATTTTATATGTATGCATCACTTACACTTATCTCTGTAGGTATATACCATATATATATTTAGATAACACCTCTCATAATATACAAATTAAATATACAAACTAAATACCTACATTCGAGACCAACATATTGAGACGCACAATCCAATTTGAATCATATTACAAACCTATAGGATTGAAAATGTCTTGTAATTGATGAATCCGGAAGATGAGGTTGGTTATCGTATGTACTATTAAAGTTCGCAATCAGACGTGCGTATGCGCACGGATATTCTAGATACATTTATAGATTTAAAAGCGACCTTAGGCCTTACATATTAAAGAACAGTTTCGCTTACTTCAGCAAAAATGATTAAATGAAAGATTATAAAATCTTATGTAATATTTAAATGACCATAAAAAATAAATTAGTCGTACCTGGTCAGAAATTAAATTCCTTGCCTTACATTGATTTCAGATACTATATTATACCACTTTATTTTATTTATACATATACTTTTGGTACACTAGTTACATTTGTTACTGTGCGTTTTCTTTAACTGTAAAGTGAAAACTCTATCTAGTCTATGTTAAAGCTGTCGAGGGGAAAGTTGGCTTTAGACTTGGAATATCAATTTGTACAAAACTAACAAATTAGAAAAAAACTATAACATTTATAGGAATTTCAAATATACTTAAAAAAATAGTCTAAACTGACAAACATAAAACATAACATCATGAGACTGACCTAAACATATTCATAAAAATTTCTATGGTTTTGTTTCTAAATTCAATAAAACCCTGTTGTAGAAATATTTCCTGTTTATCTACAGTTTGGAGTCGAGGAACTGCAGTTCCTTATCTTCGGGGAACTTCTTGAAGAAGCTTTCCACGTAATCCTCGTCCACCTCAGCCAAGGTCTTGGGCTTCCACTGCGGTTTGTTGTCTTTGTCGATGAGGAGGGCGCGTACTCCTGCAGACAATTTTTTTTATAGCACAGGGGACAAACGAGCATGCGACTGAGCTGATGGTAAGTGATTGCCGCCGCTCATGAACACCCGCAACACCAGGGGAATTGCAAGTGCGTTGTCGGCCTTTTAAAAAGGAATAAGCTCTTTTTTTAAGGTTTTAATATCGTATGGGTTCGGAAATAACGCTGCTGGAACGTGATTCTACAATGTGGCTGTGCGTGGCAAAAACAGTATTAAAGTTACAATAATTTTCTTCTTGTAATGGGTTATAAAAAATGGTGCATTCGCCTGTGCTAACGGTATGTAATGGCAGGGCACCAGCTGTGGCGTAGTTAGGTAACCAAGAGCCCTGGGGCAATTAAAAAAAAGTTGGAAATCAAATAAAATGGTCATGATGTATGATTGTTTGTAGCACACCATCGTCGTCGTCTGGTTCGTGTGCAAACATTTTATATATATGATTGTTTGTAGCGGTCTGGGTGTTTTTATATATATGTATATATTTAATAAAAAATATCTAAGTATTTATATCAGTTATCTAGTACCCATAACACAAGCTCTGCTTTCTGTGGGACTAGATTGCGCTGTGTTAATTGTCCAGGGTTATTTATTTATTTAATGTATCAAGGTATGCCATTTGGCACAATATTCAGCCTTCTCATCCAGTTAATACCCGCAACCCTATGTAGGTTGTTACATCACATAGCTGTATTTATAAATTAATTTTCTTTAATAATGGTATGCCATTTTATTTTCATTCATTGTAACTTGGATTCTGTAGCTTAGTATTTATTGTTTTCATAATCCAATAAGATTAAAAAAAGTGCTCACCTTCGGGGAAGTCATGGTTCTCTGTGGAGTGGCAAGCGATCCTGTACTCCATTTTAAGGCACTTGGCCAGATCTAATTGTGCGCCGCGCTGTAGAGCTCGCAGCGTGATCTTCAATGAACCAGGACACATTTGGTGTAGTGTCTGAAAAGATATACATTTTTACTTTGTATAATTTTGACACTGTTTTTAAAATTATTAGCCTGAATAGCAATACTAGTGTGGTGCTTATTTGTTAACACGGTTCCTTGCGAACAGATTAAATGGAGAAAAACAATGTGTTAGGGGACTGGTTTCTAAGGTAGTGCATATTAACTTAAAAAATATTGTGAAATTATGCCATGTTTTACAGTTAAACTAACGGATATCATAGATTATTTTGCATTACTTCTTAAGAAAAACTATTTTAAATGCTAGCAAATATTATAATCTTTTAAATAAGGCGACTTTTGTGTATGGGGGCTACATAAAAAAATGAGGTTCAGTGAACTCGTAAAAATACGAGATATTAAATTTTAAAATGTCATTCAGAGGTGTGAGTGCTGAGACCCCACTTTATATTTCGTCGATATAATACAACGTAGGATACGTGAATTAATTATCAGAAATCCGATACCTAATACACTGTATAGGTGTAAGTAATATATATATGTACACAGTTACATACCTCAAGTGTCTTTACAGACCAATCATTCTGTACTTTTTCGAGCCTTTCTATAATTTCTTCAACTGTGGACGCGGCAAAGCAATAATTGATGTGTTTAATGTGCGGAGCTAGCGAGAACTCTTCAGGAGGTTCATTGAACTTGTTGAGGAGTGCACTGATCTCAACATCACTGGTGCATCGTGAGAGTAGTGTTTCTAGTTCATACAGACGTTTACTTGTGACGTAATGAGTTGCTATGCCAGCTTTTACTACATCCTTCCCCTTTAGTCTGTCACCTGTATAAGAATAGAATAGAAAATTCTATATTTAAATAAACTTAAGTTTAAGTAATATTTTGTACATAAATAGTCCTTCTTATTTTTTAATCTACTGATTATTATTTTTTTAATGAAAAAATTATTTATTTATGTAGGACAATTTAGCCGCTTATGAATGTCAAACTTTTTATATTATAATTTTTCCCTATCATCCAGTTCAGTATATAGATCCAATTGAGAAAAACTGGCAAGTAACTCAATTGATTTTTTTTTTAAAAAGCCAGTTTATTTATAATTTATATGTATAGGTGTCTATGTTGAACATTAAATGAAAATCCCGTGCATAAACAACTATTGCCATGCACACTCATCATTCATTTGGAAATCTGTCTCATCACAAGAACAATGAGCAAGAAACTTGATGACTTTCAAATAATTGTAACTTTACATTTTTAAAGGATGATAATGGAATGATGCACCTTTTCTAGTCCTACATTACTGGCAATCCTCTTTCCTACACTCTTAACACTACCACCTAGCACTAATTCACCAGAACATGACATTGTATGTATGGACATAACTTGGTGTTGTGTAACACTACTTAATAATGCAGATTGTATTGAAGTATGAGGGAGGGCATTGTTAGTAATGGAAACTAGTGAGCCAATATGCCAGCAGGTATCATGTCAGGTCAACCTCCATGTTCTAGACATTACTGTTGTTTATTCCTGGTAAACCCATCAGAATCTAACTTGAGCTGAATCCATGCTCAACCTATTATCCTCCACTGGTGACCTGACATATACCATTAAGTTTTGAATTAAATGACTGCACAGTTTGCATGAATGTTTTTACAATTATTTTCAATTTTCCACTTTAGTTTTTAGGGAAACATTATCAGTATCATCCTTGGCTTTTAAATTTTTATACCTTTAATTATTGTTATAGCTTTAACCATATATATAGTTCTCTGTAGTGACATTCAACATTACATGTTATTCATTAAATTAATAAACTTACAGTTAAACATAATGAGAATAGTAAACATTAACACTCACCAGTTAAACCCAAATACAATCCAAGATTGACCTGCAACCGGGGCAGGAAATAAGAACCACCAACATCAGGAAACAGTCCAATCTTTGTCTCTGGCATGGCTATAACTGTCTTCTCTGTGGCCACCCTATACCTGCCATGCACAGACAGTCCCATACCACCTCCCATAGTGATCCCATCAATTAAAGCTATGTATGGAATTTTGTATTTGCCAATTAAATAATTAACATTGTACTCTGTGAAGAAGAACTTTGGTCCGATTACCCTATCGATGGCAGCCTTCACATCTCCACCAGCACAGAAGGCCTTCTCCCCGGCACCTTTTATTATGACCATATGCTTACTGTTTTCCCATTCTTGCAGTTTTGGCAACATTGTATTAACCATAGACAAGTTTAAGGAATTTAAGGCTTTTTGACGATTTAATGTAATGATGCCAGCATTATTTAAGGTCTCAAATAACACTTCGGGCTCTTGTGTTGACATGGCTCGTTTGTATGTTGTTGATATAATTCGTGTAGTGTCTATTCCAAATTTGAACATCTGCAATGAGTTTATATGTACAATTAGGGTCATAATCAACTACACAGTCTACCTGATAAGTGTCTACAGCCTCTATGGGCTGTATGACTTACAATACCAAAGTTTGTTGGTGTATTCAAACCTCCTTACATGGAAATATCTTACTAATATTACAAATGCGAATGTTTGTGAGTATGGATGGATGTTTGTTACTCTTTCATGCAATAACTACTGAATGGATTTTTATGGAACTACAGTAATACAGCTGGAAATCACGGGCACAGCTAGTACTAAATAATTAACTGTCAGTTTGAAACAGGAGAAAACATACAAGCAAACTATATAAGGTAAAGGTGAAGAGAAATAAATTTACAAAATATATTCATCAAAATAATAATAATAATAAGAGAATACATTCTTTAAAAAGTATTTTCAAAAGGACATTTAACTCTAATTTTAAAGAAATTTGATATTCTATATATTATTATATGTAATAATTATGATACAATAAACTTTAAAGAGTTAGTGCTACTTAACACATTATTTTTTAAGACCAAAGGTTATGATTTTTTCTAACCTCCATTAAGAATTAATAGAAAAATACTTTATTATTATTTCATAATTAAAATAATCATTGTAATAAATAAAGCATATATTACATAATTACTAACCTTGAACGTTTGAGCTTTACAACAAATTGTTTATCAGTAATATAGATTCTAATTTTATTGTCACTTTATATCAAAACATCTGTAACATTAAAAACAGTATTCCAGAGCAATGAAGGTCGGAATTGTGTATTTATATATGTACTGATAATAAAAATAAAAATAAAAAGATGGGAGAAAAGCTACTATTAATTATTAAATTGATGTGATAAACATAAACCGGGTTCAGTTAAAAAACATTATTTAAGACAATTCATGACTGACAGATAACACGGCAAAATTATTAGAGACTGACGTTTATGACAGTCGATTAATAATAGGAAGGTAGGTATCAGAAATCTGATACTACTTAAAGAACTAGTTGAAAAATAACTAGTTCTTGAAGATGTATAGTAGTTATTTTCTCTATCTAGGAATTTGAATAAGAAATTCTCGGAATTCAATCTCACTAATATTATAACCGCGGAAGTTTGTGAGTATGGATAGATGTTTTATTTGATCTATTCAGTAGTTTTCCGTGTAAAAGTATTACACGGAAAAACTACTGAATAGATTTTAATTAAACTTTACAATAATATAGTGTATAAATCAGGGCAACATTTTCATCCCGCGGTTTCCTCTGCTTGGAATTTATAGCCTATATAAATTTCAAGTGGATGATACCGCGGGCACATCTAGTTAGGAAATATAATAACTTCTGTTGTGAAAAATATTATAATAATTCCTATTTGACAATATTTCAGTATTTTTTCTAACGTTCCCGTTAAGATCATCACGTTAGGTTGCCGTTTTCCTCCATCTATACTTAACTATGCCTCTGTCTAAGCCATTTGGGATAGCTTTGTAGCTTGTAAAAAGATATCTATATAAATATGGAATTAAGTAGATTGGCCTTGTCTAAATTTCTCACAGAAAAATTCTGAATTATTTATAACATCAATATTTAAATGGCCCAAAGTTTATTGAAATTGTGCTTCTTGTCAAATATATAAAACATTACTTACAAAAGTAGACACTGATAGAATGCAAAAATAAGTTTGAAAGTAATATTCTTACTGTGCAAATGCCATATGTAGTTGTTGTACAATCGTGATAATTAATCCTTCACTAACACTGAACAGCAATTTGCTACAGACAACGCACATGAAGGCGAAATATCCAATTACCAATGAAAACGTTAACGGCTATTTCTTCGTATAGTTAACTAGAGACCTGCCCCGGCTTTGCACGGGTTCTAAACAAAAATTTCAAATATCTTAAATTATTTTTTTTAACACACAAACACATAAGTATATCCATTTTATTGATGTCATGTCATGTATAAATAGAAATAATCTTTATTCAAGTAAATTTATTATATCCACTTTTGAATAGCTATTCATTCGCTCACTTTGCTCGAATATAAATAATTGCTGTAGTATACGTATAGTATATATATTTTTTAAATTATAATCACTTTTTTAAAACGAAGTTTTATACGAATATTCGTTACGTTCCTAACGTTGTTCAAAATATTATCGGCTATGTTCAAAGGGTAATGTTTAAAACCTATTTTGTACATAAATATTTAAAAACATTATAAAAAACAATTGAAATATATTCACATAAGTCAACAGACAACAGTCTTTGATTTCATACATAATAATGTATAATATATAAAAGAACCGGCAAATACAAACATTTAGTGCAGGTGTCTAAATAACAAGAAATCACGATTTTATTTTTAAGGCTATCTGAGTGCTATAGATTATTTTTTGATAGGTAACTCTATAGAGTTACCTGATCCTAATGTGATGCATATTCAATTAACTTGATTATTATTATTTCAAAGAATTTCTGTCCTAAGGCAATTTTAGTTTTAGCGTTAATGTATATTATAGATTTCAACAGAGTTACAAAGTCCTAAATGGATGCATTTTAGAAGAAATATACAGACACAATTATAACACTACTCCATGTGTTAGGTTGGTGGGTAGAGTCATTAAGACAGAATTCAATAAGGCACCTTTCACAGACCTATAAAAAATGCTTGTTAATCATATTTCCTGTACATTTTATTCATAAATTAGTTAATATTCATATTACATCTTCTAAGGTATATGTTTAAAACCTATTTTGTACATAAATATTTAAAAACATTATAAAAAACAATTGAAATATATTCACATAAGTCAACAGACAACAGTCTTTGATTTCATACATAATAATGTATAATATACAAATACAAACAGGTAATGTAGGAGTGTAATGGTAAATTAATTTTTCATATTTGTACAGTAGTTTTGGAGCCAATGCAAACAAACAATCGAAACTTTTCTTTATATACTATTAGTATAGATACCTATAGAAAATCGATCCTTACTGTAGCCGTAGTATACTACCGTCAACTATGAGAATATATGTTTAATAATAAGCCTAAACATTAATTTGCATTCAATGACGAAATTATAATGAAATTAAAATTCCTTTACCTTTTTAGTTGTATATGGGTTGAGACTTTGACCGCATATAACAGTAGTTAATATTGAAGATGCTCCGGCATCAATCAACGCAGGTAAATTAGTTCTGATATTTGTATATAGGAATATCGGAATTACGAAAACATCATTAGTATGAACCTACATTAATATGAAAAATTCTGCTAGTACTATAAAATTCTCTTATTAATCTAATCTAGAGAGCGTAATATCCTAGTAGATTCAAAGAAGTCAGGGTGGTGCAAGTTTCATTTGACCGAAAGGCTCAACTGATTCCAAATAATTTGAATTATTAATTATTTACAAATATTGACTAGATAGAATTTTAATCGAAGTTACATAAAGTTGATATAAATTACAAGTAAGGAAATTTTACGAAGAACCAAATTTAGACAGTTACATTTATAAACATATAATTTAGTTGTATACTTATTCTTTTTTAAGATGAATTTTTAGTTAGGCCATCGTGTCGAGTCCACCAGGAATTAAATACGATGATTACAGTTGAAACTGGGGGACTGGAGGAAAGTGGAGGTCGACCAGATTTGATACTATATTGCTCTGAATGGGATTTGCATTATTAGCAATCACTTTCCCGTAGTGTAAATCTAATTTCAGTTGTGTGCTCTGATTATTCAATTGCACTTTTCCCATTGTTTCATGATAAGTTAGACAAATATTCGTCATTGTGCATTGTGTTTGTTTACTTCTTTCTTGGAATACATATGGAAATTAGAGACATACGATTCGTTTACTAATAACCCTAAGCCATTCTTCCATTCTTTCATTCACCTGCCAAGACTAGCGAACCGCCCCGGGTTTACACGGGTATTTAAATTGATTTACACAAAACTTTAACGAATTAGACATCTATCATAGAAGTCATCTATTGATATATTTTTTATATTATTGCTTACACGCAAATTGAAATTTAGTTCAACTTCAATTTCAATTGCAATATTTCATTTAAATGATGAATCTACTTCCGGACATCCTTTAGTTACGTCCTTTTGAATTAATAGTGGTAGTACCAATAATTAAATTGTTAGTGCAATACTTTCTACTGGTAAATGACTACATAAATATTTTTAATTACGAAGTACTTGTTTCTGTTTTATTACTGTTATTACGATATAAGTACTTTAAGTACTTAACTAAGTTAAATCAAAGATGTCACTGTCAATGTCAGTCAATCTATCAACAGTGTCAAAACATAACCTCAAACATATTGGTTTTTGAACTCTTCAATTTCTTGATTAGTTATTATTTAAAAAATTAGAAACATGGGTGTAATGAGGAAATTTCTGAATTGGTACGGTAGGTTGGGGCCTAGTCACGGCAAGACACTGCCACCTTACGAACACGTCGTGCAAGTAGGAGATCCAACATTACGTAAAGTTTCAGAACTCGTGCCCATTCCTAGTATTAAATCAGAGAGTGTTCAGAAAGTTATCAAGAAACTGGAATGTGTACTTGATAAATATGGAAGTTTAGGAATGTCGGCGCCGCAAATAGGTGTTAACATGAGGATATTTGTGATGAAGCATACGAATAAACAGATATCGTATACTCCTAAAGAAATCGTCAAGTCCAGGGGAATGAGCGCAGTACCGTTCACTGTGAGTAAGTAAATTGTTGAATACTATAAGTTGTCACATAAAAATAATATAAAAACTGAGATAGACTGTACAAAATCGTCTACTACATCTGTCTCACGTATTTCTGCCGCCCAGCAGCTTGCTGTATAAACTGTATTTCAAATGACGGATGAGATTTGACAGAGGAATCACAGACTATGGAGGCATCGCTTCATAATCCTCTAGATTGGTAATTATTAATAGTCTACCATCAGGTCAAATAATATAATGTATGTACAAAACACTTGTCATTTTTATCAGATTTATAACCATTTACATTGTTTGCCATTTATATTTATATTGTTTATCATTTACATTTTATATTGTTTACCATTTACATAATAAAACTCCAAAGATGCTGTAGTGTGCAAAAACCTTAATAGTGTTGTTTGTTCTAGGTGTTCATAAACCCTAAGTTGAAAGTGATTGATTACACAAAAGTTGTGCATTCAGAGGGTTGTGAAAGTGTGCAAGGGTATTTGGCAGAAGTACCTAGGTATAGAGAGGTTGAAGTTACAGGTAAATAATATTTTAATTTTACACTAGCTGTGCCCGCGGGTACTTCATGTGGGTATAAACCCACATGAAATTTATAGCCTATCTGTTATTCTGATGTATAAGCTATATTACTGTAGTTTCATCAAAATCAATTCAGTAGTTTTTGCATGAGAGAGTAACAAACATCCATCCATACTCACAAACTTTCGCAATTATAATATTAATAAGATTATACTGGCAGGCAATGCCATGTAGCAATGGTATAGGTAAGAGAGATAGGTAATGGTAGAGGTAGCTTCTCTGATATAATCCAAATAGCCACAAATTATGCTAATTTGACACCATAAAACCATAAAAACCAACCATACATGATACCAACTTCATGGTGGATACACAGCTATCAGAACATACTCACCTTCCTATGACTACAACTCATGATATTAATGTATATTTAATAACATAAAATAGTTACATAATTAAAACAATTATGAATTAGATGTGATGAAATGAAATGAACCCGGGACTGATCTGTCATGATCTGATTATTGTCTGATTGACTGTGGATTGTATCTCATATACAAGTTATGATAGTAGATGAAACAAGAGTTGTTTAAAGATTGAACTACAGCATTTGGACTTCTCTGACTACCCTATTATCTACCTACTATAGTATATTTATTATTTACCTATTTGGGGTTGAAACAGTAAGTCATGATCTTATATATATATAACACAATATAAAATCCATCTTTTTATTTATCCATCTTGTAATGTCTGCTGTTCCAGGTTACAACTCTGAAGGAGAGATTACATCTAAAATATTCAAAGACTGGCCAGCAAGAATAGCTCAGCATGAAATAGACCATTTGGATGGCAAACTGTACATTGATAGGATGGACCGGAAAACATTCTCATGTACATGTTGGGAGGAAGTTAATTTATCAAAAGGAAAACTTGTAATCCCATTTCATCCTGAATAACATATACCTGTATCTAGAAAATATATCAATTTTATGGTTATACAAAAAGGTTATTATATAATAATGATATGATGAGTTGACATGCCTCTGTTTTAAGCATTTTTATTAATTTAAAAGTGGGATGATAATGGTTCAATTTTACCAAATGACATAAAACCATACACATTTCTTATGCTTTAATATTGCATTTTTATGACACTAGAATTTTTTATCTTCTGTAGAACAATGCATTTCGTGCTCATTACGTTTACCAACTCAAGAGCATGAAATATCAAATAAGTGACCAAGTGAGTGATGAAGCACCACATATGTTGCAGACACTTATTATTTTCAAAATGAACAGTATCAGCCTAAGCATATATTTACTTAGATAAATTCATAGGTTACAAAAATTCCTATTCATTTTAAAATTGTTTCTTGTTTATAATCAAGAATCTGTTTTAGTCACAGAACAGTAAATTTAAATGTTCATATTTTCTAAATAATTATATTTATTAGTCATTGTTATTGTCATGTATTGATAAAATTTTAAGGTTATAAATTAGGTCTCTGAAGACTTGCAAAAGCTGCAGATATCATTTGAAAGTCCGTAGCAACTTCATTCCAATGGTTTATTTAATGGAGTTGTGAACAATGTCTATTTAAAATTGATTAAAAACTTATATATCACATATATGTTTTTAATCAATTAAACCACTGTGGCCGCGGTTTCATCCGCATCAAATGTCCATATAAAATATAGCCAATGTGTTATTCTGATGCATAAGCAACATTATTGTAGGTTCATTAAAATCCGTTCAGTAGTTTTCGCGTGAAAGAGTAACAAACATCCATACTCACAAACTTTCGCGTTTATAATGTTATTAATATAGAGAATCATTGTGATAATGGTGTTGATTATTTCTAATTAAAAATAAACAATGTTATAAATTTCTGAAGCTTTTATTTCATTGATGTTAAAGCACATACAGCTATCGGATATTACTCGTATCATAATACTAAGTTACCTGTCTTTTAATAAATATATGTAGTACATTTCTATAAATATATTGTAAAACGAATTATACAACAAACAGACAATAATTACATATATCTTATAACAGAAAACTTACACTAGCATCTGCACAAAAAAATAAAATTCCTGTACATTGCTTTCCTCTCTTGTAAATAGAATGTCAGATGTAGTTTAATGATGATGATGATGATGACTCATCATTATGTTTGATGATTGAATAGATTCAAGTAAAAGGTATAATTGTACATTATCTTCTGTTCATTCATAATTTAGAAGCCACGCTGTAATCGCTGGAGCTCTTAGCAATAGCAATAGCAAGGTATATAGATGTGGGATAATCGCGAGTGAGTTTTGAAGAAGTCTTATAATATTTAATAAAATTCTTTCCACTTATCATATGTATATAACAAGACTTTGTGTATAATATGTGTAGAAGTGACAAGCGCAGCCCTTTTGTCTTATTGCGAAAATATTAAAAGCTACTATACGAATTTTCTATTTTCGTACATCAACAGAATTATTTCTGTGTAAGGGGTATTTGTGAATATTTTGTGTTAATTCTGGAATAGCACTGCATATATAGTTTATTTTGCGTATATTGTCTATGTATGTACAGGCGAAGAGACAAACTTGAGAGAAACTATATCTGACGATCTAATCACAAGACGTCATTGATCCCTCCATCGCTCATATTACCTTACCTAAGCATATTAAATTAAATCATATTTACATGTGAAGACCCCACAATTACAAAAAAGCAAATATACAAGTTAATTTAAATTTTTAATTTATTTCAAGTTTCTTTATTTGAAAAGAATAAATATAAAGCAGTTAAATTGGATTTGTAATTTAATGAATAAGGTCTTCAACCATATCAAACAGAAAAGGTCGCAGTAAATGATAATGTCTCATTATTTTGACATTAGCAGCATCCTACTATTTTTTCTGGACAAAATAAAATTAATGTAACTGTTCGTTTACATTCTAGCACTATAGAAATAAATAAAATACAAACGTTTGCTTCTTGCCCACTTCTGTTCTCCGACTCTAATGCTCACTTCAATTCCATATTTTATTTTTTTGACCAGATAGAACCATACTGGTCATTTCCAGTAATAGTATTTCTAACTGCAGGATTATAATGCAGTAATAACATTCATATAAGCGAACCCTACTTTTTTTTTATACTATGATGGTGGCAATTAAGCATACGGCCCATCTGATGGTAAACGGTTACCGTAGCCTATGAACGCCTGAAACACCAGGGGTATAACCTTAATATACCTTTCTTGAAAAACCCCATGCTGTAGTCTCGTGGGAAAACCTCGGCAGGAAGTTCATTCCACAATCTAAGTGTACGCGGGAGTACCTGTACCTACTAGAAATCTATGTTCAATAATGATAAGTAGGTAAACACTTACACTATATGTTCTCGAGAACCTTGTACGATGCAATTTCTATCAAGTAAAACATATATAAATATTTATTTATCTTTGTTCTTATTCTCGAGAACCTTGAAGATGGAATTTTAATTAAACATATAAATATTTATGCATCTTTCTTCTACATTGTATGTTCATATTTTACAGTGCAGTTAGTTGTTTATCTGAAAATATTTCTACTTTTTCCCAGCCCAGAATAATCTTAAGTCTCCTATTAACATTCTCATTGTTTAATTTGTGCTTAATTACCATTTCATTTTAATTTAAGAATTGTCAACAGCATTGCTTCACAGTTTATGACGAAAATCTATAAATTGATTAAATATTTACTATAATTTATCATTGACATAGATTGAAATTGTACCTACAAAAACAAGCACCTTGGCTTTTATAGCAATCAAATTAGGCTCAAATTGAAATTACATAAAATACATGTTAAATAGTATATTTGAATATGATGCAATCAAATTCAAATATTTATCTAAATTTCAAACAAAACCAAGTATCCATTTTATGGCATATCTTGAACCATAAGTGAAGTATGGGAAAAATTAAAGAAGACAAGTTTAGCCACATGTTTACGTCTAGATAAGTGTGGGTTATTTTACTCGATAATTCAGTGCGTGAGTATATAATTATTGTGTGGTTATTACAGTCGCCAGCCGCACCTAGCGTCCCAGGCCAGTTACCTGCAACATTAACAGTAAATTATTGTTAATATAACAAATTCAATTAATTCAACTACTTTAATTATCCTTAATAGTTTCTAATGCAGAGGGTATTATAAATAATTAAATGATGAAAGTGATAAATTAGCTGACCAGTTCTATATTATTTACTAGCTACTCGCCCTGGCTTCGCATGGGTGTAGATAGATATATCGTTTATTTCTTTGTTACCAATCATCATGTATTATATATATAAACCTTCCTCTTGAATAACTCTATTAAAAAATCCACTTCGAAATCAGTCGGGTAGTTTTAAAGATTTAAGCATACATAGGGACAGAGAGACAACGACCGCGACTTTGTTTTATACTATAATACTGACTACTAACTAGACAGTAAACATTATTTTAATTAACAGGGATTAACTGATGATTTATATACACCATACGTCTCACGTGCGATTAGGATTTAGCGCGGGAAAGTCAGTGCGCGCAATCGTGAAGTATTTACATTGTGCGTATTTGCATTGCATTGCACGCGCGGAAGTGTGAACACAAAAAATACTAAACTATTTTTTGTAATTAATCATTACAAAAAGACGGTGAACCATGTACGATTAAAGAACGCGGGAATGCGCGAGCTGCACGTCCTGTCTCGTTCTTTATCTACATTTACATGCACATTCTTTCCCGCGCGAAAGCCGGTTTGGGTGTAAGGGCAAGTAATGTATCACGTCAGGTCGACATCCACGCGATTTCCTCTGGAAACCATCTTGGACTAACGGACCAGATTTCATGATGGTGGTGATGGTGACGAGTTGGTCACCAGGGTTACCTGAGCGGGTTGCTGGCGAGCGAAGTGAGGCTGCCGAGCGAGGGCGGTCCGCTGGTGGCGAGGCTGAGGCGATCGGTCTCTTCATCAGCCTGGTTGTTCCTCAACTCCTGCAGCGTGTACACCAGCTTGCTCCACTCGTCGTGCCGCGGCTGTGCCACATGCTGTATACCGAAAGACGTACAGATTTAAATTTTTTTCCCTTAATAAAGCACCAAAAGAAACTAAAGCAGATCTTAAACCCTTTAAGACAATCTGAACTCTAGTATTTCCATATAATCTCAAAGATTTTGGAAAATAAAAAAAACTCTTAAAAAACGTTCAAGTATTATGTAAGCAGATTTATTACAATTATTAACCCCCCCCCCCCCCCAACCCCCTTGTCAGCAAAAGTAAGCAATGATCTTACCCCCTGCTTATGTAAACATTTCTCAATTAATGTATTGTTTTTTTAGCAAAGACAATGCGAGGGTTGCCATTCGTGTAAAAAAGCAAATAACTGGCTATGACGTAATCATCATTTAGACCCTACCCCCCATGCCATCCAAAATAAGCAAAGTAACTGGCAAGAATCTCAATGGAATTTCTTTGTTTCTTTTTCCAGCAAATTTCTTCACAATGAATATTTATATAGATGTCTATGTCTAACATTAAAAGAAAATCCTGTGCATGACCAACTATTGCCATGCACGCTCGTCATTCAAGTAATTCTTTAGAGTCTTTGCTAGCCATATATTGCTTTGCTAGTCAATATAAGTATTTGACAATACCTCTGCGAGGTCGTAGAGCCATATCTTGCCGGCGTCATCGCCAGCCGTGAGATGAGATCCTGAGGGTGACCACGACACGCGGTTAAAGGCCACACCAGCCTCCGCCTGCACCGACGCTATTGGCACCTGCGAATTTATTTACATTTTAATTAATTGCCCGACAACGAAGGGTTATCATTTTTAACTAATATCAAATGATAGTAAAACCCAGGACATAGTTTCATACTAAAAAAAACGAGTAAAAAAATAAAAACAAGTAACCCGATTTTTAGTATGAAACTAACAAGTATTGTACCATTTCACAATCCTGAAAAGTTCTAATGGCACTTGCCAAGTAATGCCAAGGTACTTTAGTACGTTTTTTTAAGGGTCCTCCCTCCCTCCTCCCTTAATTCTAGAAAACTTGGGGCAATTGTGTCATTATTTTTGACTGTGGTTCTAGAAATATTATTTTGGGTTATGGTTCCAAAGTTTAATTGAACAAAAATAATAAAAATTAACCACAATAACCGAAAAATGGTTACAGTTGACCAAATTTCTAGTTTTTTCTTAAATGCCCATAATTTTAAAATGGAATAGACTTTTTTTCGGATTTTTCTCATGATGGTTACAATCAATCCTATCACTCTGTTTCGGCTTGACGTTGAGTTTGGGACACCCTGTATATTAAGTATGTATTTACTAAAGAAAAGTATATATGTATTTATATATGTCTATTTATATCAGATTGTCTAAGAATATCCTTAACTATAACAAAAAGCTGACAATAGCCCAAACAATCCAATAAATAAAAAAAATCAGTTGTCTAGTAACCATAACAAAAAGCTCTGCTTAACTCGGGACTAGATGATGCTGTGTGAATTGTCCTGAAATATTATAGCTACAGGGGTGTGCCGACCTCAGTGTCCCTATTGAGGTTCCAGAGATCCAGCCGGCCGGATGCGTCAGCCGCGGCGAAGAGCGCGGGGTGCGCGGGCGACCAGCGCACGTCGACGACGTAGTCGCCGCTGTCCTCGAACGAGTAGAGCGGCTTCGAGTCCTTGAGGGACCACAGCTTGACGCTCCAGTCCACGGAGCTGGTGAGGTACAGGTGCGCGAGGTCCACGCTCCCGGCGGCGGCGTGGCACGACACGCTCGTCACTGGACCAGCGTGGGCTTCCACAGCCTCGCCTACGCCCGCACGCTGCCCGTACAGGCAACCTGCATAAAAATATACTTAATATAAGCACTTTTGAATAGTTAAAAAAGTAATGATATTGAGAGGAAATATACAAGAAGACGTCTCACGGTTGACGGCTTCAGTAGTGCAGCGCCACCCCGCTTTCCTTATGATGGTCGATTCCCCGCACAGTGCAACATTTGTATTCATAAGTATAATTGTTTATATCGGTCTGTGTTTTTCCTATGTATATTATGTTTGAATTAAAAAATATATCACTTGTCTAGCTCATAACACAAGCTCAGTATAACTTGGAATTAGATAGTGCTATGTGAATTGTCCACGAATATAATAATTATTATCACAGAATACATTAAAAGAGCACAAGTTTTATCACTAGTTAATTTTGAATGGTGGGAAAAGAAAATTTGTATTAGGGACCTATAGGCCCCATAATAAACAATGCTGGTACATTGTCATTGGTACATCAGATAAGATTGTCAATGTGATTTTCCCTGAAAACTATTGTAGTTAATAACTGATAAATTCGTCATGATGGGCTGATTAACCTATCTTTATTTCATTATCATCCTACCCTTCTATGCTGGAGGCATACACTATCAGTGTAGACAAAAATAGTTCCATTATCGTTAATAAAAAAGTGGTTATTAGATGAATAGAAATTATACATAAAATAAGGTCACTATACAGATAAAGTTACATGCAAAACCTTTTCAAAGCTATTTTTAGCTATTTTAAGAAGAAATCAGGCCCAAGTCGAGTTCGACTCCGCATTATTTACTAAGGTACTGATAAATAATTAACTATGGACACAGGTATATGCAATAATTTTATTTATTTATTTATTAAATCTTTTATGCACAAATACACAAATATAGATGCATATGGCGGACTTAACACTATGAGGTATATGCAATAATATCAAACTTATAGATACCCTTTTATGCGAAGTCATTGAAAAGCGAACGAAACATGAAAAGATCGTACCAGTATAAACGTTTCCATCCTCGCTGCCCAGCACGAAGTTGTTGACGTCGCCGTGCGGGAAGCCCATGGAGGTGACTGCGACGGCCTTGCTCTGGCGATGTTGCAGGTCGAGCGTCTCCTGCGGCTGCGACAGCATGTCCAGCGACCACGAGCACATGCGCCCGTCCGTCGACACCGAGATCAGGTTGTGGGCGTTCTGGCTGCCCACCACCGACAGGCAGTACACGGGGTGCTGTAACAAATCAGACATGTATTTGTACTTTCCTACAGGATCTTGGATTATAAATATAATGAAATTAACTTTTTTTAAAGGTGCAATAGAGTTTTGTATAAATAAATAAATATTTATAGCACCTTTAAAAAAAAGTACGAAACAAAACAATATACACAGTATGTAGGTATAAAAGGCGTCTAATCGTATGTACAGGTGGTGGATGGCACAAGATGGAATGAATAAACATAAATAATAATAGTAACATATCATATATATATATACATATAATATAAATATACAATAATATAAAATTAAAGAAATATCTGTACATGGTAACAATGCAATATGCATCGATTGATCCCCCGTCCAATTCAAACGGGGATCGAAATTACGACGGCCTGAGTGGAGGTTCGAACCCCTAGTGGTGCCCTCAGACTAAAGTCGTATCCGTCAGGCAGGAGTTGGCCTTCAGCCGCTCCATAAGTCCTTCCGCGGGTTTGGAGTGCCATCTGCACTCGCCCCCTAACGTCCGGTGAAGCTGTAAAGGCCAGCTGCGGCCAACAGCATTAGAGTAGTTCGAAAAAAAACACATCCTGTTTCAGGTTCCACGTAGCAACATAAATTTAAAAAATGTAGGTATTCATAAGTACTACACTTACATGCACGTTTGACGTATTTATATGTCTCCCTCGGTTAACAGGTTAAGGGTGACATTTGAAGATATTGATAACTTACCGTATGCGCCAATGAAGAGAGTGGCGTGCGTTGCACGGGCGTACGTTTCTGTATACGATTGTCCCATAGTACGATCTGACCGGAGTAAGTACCGCCCAGGATTAGATTCGGGTGGAACCTGTCGTGTGGAAAATATAATACAAATTATACATATACAAAACATACATACATATACAATTACAATTACATATATGGAATCGATCCACAACGCGAGCTTCAAAGCGTTCGTGGCCCTGGTCCCCACCAATATGCTGCCCACCTTCATGAAGGAGGACTACTGGCCGAAGGGGGTGGTCTATCGGCGCTACCGTGGCAGATTGCCGTCGTCAGTGCCGTGACCATAGAGACAATTTTATTTTTCATATTTTATTATTATTTCTTATGTATGTTAGTCTATAAGGTATTTATAATATGGGCCATGTAGTCTGAATTAAATAAATAAATATACATGATATGTATGTATGTTTTCATTAACACCATGTAAGAGTATCTATATACTTCTACTACTCAATAAATATTTCTATGCATCATATAAGCAGATGTTATGACGGTCTTCACTTCACAACATCTTATTCTGGACCAAAAATCCTTCACAAATAAACCTATTATTAATATTGTATGTCATGATTATATAGCACTAATAACCAAATGACAATAGTCCACTTAGAGCTGAATTAAGCAGACTTTGAATTTGGCATATAACCTAAAGAAGAACAATACATATAATAATAAAATTAGTTCCCACTGGCATCAATAATTGACTAAATCACTTGAAAAATAATAATGATGATGATATTGAACTGAATATATACTAACTATGCCCCAAATGTGAATAAAGTCCTTAAAAATCTAATTGAATAACAATTTTTAACTAACTTTTTAAAATAACTTATATTTTTAAATATATATATTTATATAAAACATGTTATAATAGTTTTCATCCTTCTATAATAAAAGTTCATGTAATGGGAAGGAACTGGCTTCTGTCATACGGCTAATGCTAGTTCAGAAGTCAGGTAAATACGAAACGCATTGATATTGTCTAGAAAGTGTACTTATTGTATAAATAATATTGTAATGATCCTTCTGAATTAAATAAACAATTTTTGTTAAATACAATACAATTATACAAACATATTCACAAACTTTTACACTTAAACTTTTACTTGCTGCAGCTTTTGGACGCTAAAATCTTGGAAAATGTATTCTATGTTCTAACATATGATAGATGGATGCCTGTTTAATCTTTCACGCAAAAACTACTGAACGGATTTTAATTAAACTTTGCAGCTTATACATCAGAATAACATATAGGCTGTAAATTTCACCTAGAGACTCGATAGAGCCTGTGTTACTAGACTACAGACATAAATACATTTTTCAATTTTGTAAATATATACAATCATACTCATGAACACAAATGTTTGCACCGTGCGAGGAATCGAACCCGCGATTATAGGAAGTCAAGCATTGTGCCAGCTAGACCACGGAGGTCATCAAAAAAACTTGTTTACCTGGCGAACGTGGCGCTCATGACAGGCGACTGGCAGTGGAAGATGTCCTCCGGGGTGGTCTTCTTGAACTTGGTGTTCCAGACGAGGCAGACGCCGTCGGGGTCGTGGGGCGCGTCGTCGCTGTTGTGGTAGGCGGCCAGCAGCAGCTCGGGGTGCGCGGACGACCAGTCCAGGCACGTCACGCAGCGTCCGCGCGACCATCGCTCGTCCCAGAATGTGCGCACCAGCGACAGGCGACCGTCCGTCTTGTCGTCGCTAACATACATACATAGAACTAAAATATCTTCATTCAAATACAAATTCAAAAAGCATTTATTAATGTAGGGTAATTTAGCCGCATATGAACGTAATTTTTTTTATATTACAATTTTTCCCTAACGTCCAGTTCAGTATATAGGTCCTGATGATCTTTTGCTAGCAATGTAGCATGGCAGTCGACCTCCACGCAGTGCCCTCTGGAAAAAATCGTGAAATTCTTGGCAAATTTGTCACGATGGGCTAATTGACCTGACCTCATGCTCATTTTATCATCCTCCACTGGTGCCCCTCCAGTGTAAAGCGTTAGCGCAGGCGGCTGCACAATTCCATTATCATCCATAAAAAAAAATATTGCGTACAACTTACAGTGCGTTCTCATTGTCGCCGCCGCCGGTGTAGTCGGTGTAGATGTCCACGGACTCGGCGAGCGCGCGTTCGATGACGCGGCCGGCGCGGCTCATGAACCTTTGGAACTCCGAAGACAGTAGAATCGTCTGCTTCTCATCCGCGCTCAGCTCGCGAACTATACATAGTAATATATAAAAATAAGTGGATCTAGAAACAGTAAAAGACAGATGAAGAGAGAGAGAGAGAAAGAGAGAGAAAGAGAGAGAGAGAGAGAGAGAGTAATGGTAAAAGGTAGTAATAGTAAGAGTGAAAGAGATTAAACTAAATTAGTTGTTTTTTAGGTGATGTATACATTTTTTTTTAATCGACGGCTACTGTGGCTGGCGCTTTAGCATACCACCTTCCGATGGTTGCGGGTTCGATTCCTCCATGATACAAACATTTGTAATTCATAAGTCTGACTTTTAGTATTGGTCTGGGTGTTTGCTATGTATATTAGAAATCTATGTATTTATATCTGTTGTCAACAAGGCCGTCAAGTACAGCAATACTTTATTATTTAGTCTGTATGAAGCGTAAGTTATTATTTCTCGTAAGAGAGATAACATACCTTTCTTCTCCTTCTCCTCCTCCTTCTTCTCCTGCGGTGCAGCGGTGACAGCCGGCTGCACCTCCTTGACGGTGGGCAGTCCGTGCGGCAGGATGCCCGGCGGCAGTTTCCCATGGAAGGCGGCCTCCTCGTCGTCACCTTGCCGAGCGGCGTCGCCGTCGAATGTAAGCACTGGACGGTGAATAAGAATGGCCCTTGCCGGGGACGCCGGGTATGACGGGGACGGGTGTGTGCCATGCGGTGTACGGCGGACTTCCTATCTTTACACTTATACTATTTGTTACCGACTATCCTACTATCTTTTACAGCTCGCTGTATTCCGACCTTAGGGGGAAACTGCTGGAGGGGATACGTCGCGGTGAAGGCGAAGAAGAAGGTCCGGTGTACTACCCGGACTTGGTGTCAACGGAGGAGAATTTTAGCGAGCGACGGAGCGATTACGAAAGAACTGACGGTGATACGCGTTCAAGAAGGAAGGATGCTGCTGAAGATGGAGTGCTGCCCGGCACCGAAGCTGTCAGTGTTTCGTCCGCTGTCCTAGAAGGGGGAGAAAGCGACAGAAGGGACAGGAGTGGAAACAATTTGTAGGGGTCAAGAGAATGCGTGCTTTTCAGCGCGCATTCCCCGTAGATTCGACCAGTATAACCGAGAGGTTGGAATGGCCATGGGTTGGTGGAGGGTTATCCTTTACAGCCGGACTTGGTGTCTTCGGAGGAGAATTTAAGAGGCTGCGGGAGTTCGCGCATCAGTGGCACCGGAGGCGGAGTGAGTACGAGCGGACTGATAGGACGAGGTGGTACGAGTTCACGAAGAGAGGATGCTGCTGAAGGAGTGCTGCCCGGCACCGAAGCTGTGAATGTTTCGTCCCATAAGGGGGAGAGTGCGACAGAAGGGACAGGAGTAGAAATAGTTTGTAGGGGTCAAGAGATAGTGTGTTATTCAGCGCGCATTCCCAGTAGATTCGACTAGTATAACCAAAAGGTTGGAATGCCCATGGGTTGGAGGGTTGTATCCTTTACAGTTTCATCAACGTTTCGTCCGCTGCCCCAGAAGGGGGAGAGTGCGATAGAAGGGACATAAGTAGAGATATTTTGTAGGGGTCAAGAAAATGCGTGCTTTTCCCGTGATTCGGCCAGAATAACCGCGAGGTTGGTATGGCCATGGGTTGGTGGAAGGTTTATTCTTTACAGCTTCAACGGTTGAAATTGAGGGCTGGTGCTGACGGCACTCCAAATCCGTGCAAGGATTTATGGATTGAAGACCAACTTCTATATGACGGATCCTGCGGAAAGATTTCTGAAGGACTACTCCTGCCTGACGGTTATTTTAATCTGAGAGTACCATTAGCAAATTGGAAGTGAATTTGTAAATGGCAAGTTTAACTTAAAATTGATATATATTATTATAAGATAAAATAGTTCTTATTCATCAAAGCATTGAAAATTAAACAAAAACATTTTGATGTTTTTGATTGAAACAAAAGGGTAGTTTTTATTGAATTATACATTTCTCCTTTTATTTAATACTTTGTCTTACGCGACAATGAATGGTTTTAACTGGATATGTTTTATATTTATGTTTGCATGCGTGTGTGTTATTTGAACCTACATTGTCGCGTGAACTATAGAAAAACTACGTTCTGCTTATGTCTTAGCCGCTTAAAGCCAATGTGAAGATCAGCCAAGTGAGGAAGACATTTTGCCCATTAAAAGAAGGCGAGTTACATTTTTGATATGATTCCATGAAGTTATTTTGCATTAAAAACAATTTTAATAACGTATATCTCTTCTACAAATAATTGCATTAACAGTAACGTCTTTTACAAGTATTTATCCTTTCACTTTGTATTACGCGACTTATAACTTCATATTTTTGAAACCATTTTGCATTAAAAACAATTTTAATAACGGTGTGTTATGTTATGTTATGGTATGTTTATGGTGGTACACGCACTACACTATAGAACTAATATTATACTACCATGAAATGATGTTGAATAACATGTAAGCTATGTCGAACAAACCTAGTAAATAATAAATCAAGTATTAAAGTACGTTTATAGGTTTTTTTTTGCCATCGAATTATATAAATGGCAATCCAAATCCGTGGATGGGCTTATGGAGCGGTTGAAAGCCAACTCCTGCCGGACGGATACGATTTTAGTCTGAGAACACCGCTAGGTTTACGAACCTCAACTCAGATTTAGCCTGGTCACAGTATTGATCCATCGTCAGGTTGCTCGAATAAGACCAATACCGTTCGGCGTATTTGGTTGCCGCCAACTAGTAACCAAATGAGCCAGAACGTTAGACACATTCGGGCAACCTGACGACCAACCGACTGTGTGGGACCGGAATTATAAAACCGTATACGGCAAACTTTTTAGTTATACTGGTTAATTCTAAGTACAAATATTACAGATTTTTTAAATTATATTAAATATAAGAGTAATAGCTTACACGTTACCGACATAAAGTGTGTGAATGTAAAATTAATGAGTATCGGAGGTATTAGCACAAGACAAACTAAATTTGATTATGTTGAAGAATGAATAGACTGAAATATATAATCTGTCAACAACTATACATATAACAGTAGAACAAAATATTACTAAATTTTCTTCTATTTTAATAATTTATATAAAATTCTCGTGTCACAGTTTTCGTTCCCATACTCCTCCGAAACGGCTTGACCGATTCTCATGAAATTTTGTGAGCGTATTGAGTAGGTCTGAGAATTGGCCAACATCTATTTTTCATCCCCCTAAATTTTAGGGGTAGTCCACCCCTAATTTTTTTTTTATTTTAAGGCAAAACAACGTTTGCCGGGACAGCTAGTTAATTTATAAAATTAACTAATTAAATTATTAAATTGTCTTTTCCAAAACATTATTTACAGTACAATACCATATCCACATCCACAGTCACTTCGTTTTCCGTGGTATAATATCACCATAACTTTTCATCTCGAGAATGTCGTAACAAGTTGGACAACTAAGCCGAAATATTCGATACACTTATGCAAGAGATGAAAACCTCGATATATAATACTATACCAAACCATCTGGCCATCGTGGTACGTGTACCTAATATTTTACTTTCTAGAGTAGACAATGAGAGCCGTGTTTTGCGGTGTGGCTAGTGTTATTGATAATAATGATGAAAGTTATATTTTAATTTTCAGGTTATTGACAGATTATATTTTCAGGTTTTGTTTCTGAAAAGCGAAGGTATTACGTGTTATGTACGAGAGTGTAATTACAGTAATTTGACACTACAATTAACTACTTGTTTTAGTAAGCATCAGTAGTTTCAAACCATGCTGATTTAGTATCAATAGTATATAAATAATGTAGGACATACGATTTCCTAGTATAACTGGTATTTTATAAGATTTTCCTAAATATGTAGAATACGATTTAGAATCTTTCGAATTAGGACTTTTTAGGACCATAGTTTATACTTTTTTATTACATTTAAAATTTAAAAAAAGTAATATATAAAAATAAGATATACTGTTATTGAAATGTGTCTAAAATAAACGATCTGGCTTACATTTGGCAGTATTAAATATTACATACACTGTTAAACCTGATTTAGGCAAATGTCAAGTTACATATTTAAGATGGGACATTATTAGATATGCTGAATAATTTAAGCTATTTGAAAAAAAAAAGATGAAATAAAATATTAGCTATTAGTTATGACTACTGATAATTTAATTTACTTGTAATTTTATATTTTCTGTATTATTATTGTAATAATAAATACATATATACAAATAATTATATTTATAAAAGAAAAATATTTGCTCATGGGTTATAATTAGTTGAATGTCATAATTGAAGGACATGAATATTAACGTGGTTTTTAAAAATGGCAACATTATGTTACATTCCAATATTTAAACGAATTATCAGTTGCATGCCACGAACACAATCCAATAGTACCATAGACTAGCAATATCAGTTTATAATTTTGCTAGCTACGCGCCTCGGCTTCGCACGGGTGTACATGTATTATCTATATAAACCTTCCTCTTGAATTAATCTATCTATTAAAAAAAACGCTACAAAATCCGTTGCGAGTTTTAAAGATTGAAGCATACATAGGGACGGATAAACAGCGACAGCAACTTTGTTTTATACTATGTAATGGTACCAATACTTCTACGATTGTCTACTAGTTTTTTTTATAACGATAATATATAAAATACATCTGAGCTGCATCGTTTGCTACAAGGTTTATTTTTATTCCTACCATTTTATTTATAACATCAAACGTCTAATAAACTTTATTCAGATGTTTAATTGCTTTGTGCATTTCAGTTGACATATATTTTTAATCTCAAAGAAAAAAACAAAACACTGCTATTATAAAAATGTCAGATGTGTTGTTTTTTATTAATAGGACAGTTAAGGTAAAAACACCGGATCCTACAAGGTTTTCACACATTCTAGATTAAAACAAAAACTATGAAATCTATTGAAATCATGCACATGACATACGTTTTTTTATACCACGTTTCATGTTTACCTTCTATATTAAGCAGCATGTATAAAAAAGCAAATTACTGTAATCATAATCTCATATAATCATCACCAGCCTGTTGTAATTAGTATAGAAAAAAAAAACAAAAATAGTTGAGACCATTTTTGGTGAAATTACAAAAAACTGGTACATGTATACATGTATGGTAATACTCTAATATACACACAAGCAAAACCTACAAGAAATCTAGGCTATTATGCCTGTACTGATTAATTATAACTATTACATTTGCTTCTAAAAAAAAAACAAATAAATCACACAAAAAAAATGACAGGCAACATTAAGATCTCGTTATGAAGCATTAACTTTAAAGTGACAGAAAGCTTTAATAAAAAATAAAAAAAAAATCAAAAATAGAATCAAAACTTCCCGAGCTCTCCACTAGAGAGATTATGTCTCATATTATATAATATAAATATACTCATAAAATATACTGATTTCAATTAACTACGGCGGAATGATGACATTTAGTCATGCGTACACAAATTTCTGTCACATGCATAAATATATCACAATTAATAAATAAATAAAATATCCTCACTAGCTCACAAGACAATTTTCAGAATAAATAAAAAAAAATTGAACTCGCTCGCTAGATAACAGACATATACAGGTGGATTCAAAATTAAAAACATAATAATAAATTCTTATATATATATATATATATTATATATTACATAACCTGTATAGTCTACTACAGTCGGATGTGCTCGAGTTAAATGTATTTGTTAGCTTTATATAGATATATTAGCGTTACATATATATGTATATATAGGTCAGTTACAAAACAAAACATGCTTAGTGACAGTGGCGGAGGCTACCAAGGGCGGTTTAGTTTAATGATTGTCCAAAATGTTTCGGAATTGAAACCTACCTGTGAACTCGTCCTCCCACTCTAAACCCGGGTTTAGATTGTACTCATCTTGAAAAAGGGAGGAAAACAAAAACAATGTCAGTATCTTTCGACCATTATAATATTATATATTAAAAAAATATATTCAAAGTCTATACATAGATCAGCATATCCATAGTGCTTTTATAATTTACAGCATGACCTATCGTGGTCAGGTCATTCAAACTTCAGAATTGATACTCAGAATTAACTGGCATTTTAATTCAAGGCTCTATATTAAGTAATAATAAGGTATATAATAGAATACTAAATTTTACACACAAACGTTATTTACTTGCATATCAAGTCTGCACAATTTGAAGTGACACCCGACCATGTGTTAAGACCTGTGCAGTGTTTGTTAGTAGAATCGGATAGGTAAGTCAGCGTGAGATGATATAGCGACCCCATACCACCACCATAATGAATAAACACATAACTATTAATATATTCAAACATTTCTATATCTTGCGGCCGTGTATTGTATAACTGAACCACGTGGAGAACTCTGGAAGGCCACAGTTTAACATAACAGGGTATATATATCAAACGATGTAATGTCACTCATCCCATATATTCCAGATTCCTTGATAACGAGTATTGATAAGTTGTTAATGTTACTTCTCACTGGCACAGTCTGTTTATCAAGTAATCTGACAGACTCCGTCCGATCGAGACCGTGTTAGTATACTAAAAGCGTGATAGTAAGGTAATATTTACAGGTTCCAGAGATTGGAAAAAAAACAACCGACACCGCGTTACTTGTTTATATTAAAGGCAATGTTATGGGATACGACAGAAAGCGTCGGGAGGAATAATGACTTACCGTAGTAGTCGGTTGCGTGTGCTAGAAAAGGACAAAAAAATAAAAACAAACTGTCAGTCAACATTATGTGAAATTGTTTAATATATTTTGTACATTGTTTTAAGATTCATTTATTGCACAGCGATTATACATTTAATTAGTTAATTAATTCTGGTACAATTTTTTGTTGTTACAATTTTATACTTTTTTAACCAACTTTCACTTTTGTCTATTTAAATTTTAAGCTAATAACACTATCTAATATATAATAATTTTATAGCAGAGTAAGTAACTGTTTCAACATGTTAATAGTATCAATAAATTCTACGCATTCATCTTTCTAAGAGTTATCATCTCCTATTGCAATAATACAATTTAATTAACGACAAAACATTTGACTTCAATCCTATCACAAAAACTTCAAGGCGGGTAGGAAAACTCATGCAATTCTATATTGAAACCTATTACCAAACAACAAGATCCAATTATACTTGAAGCGAATTGGCAATTGAGTCATTTTCTATCTATATAGCTTGTGAAAGTTGGAAAAAAAAGTAAATTTTATCAAAATCGGCATAAATCAAGTGCAAAACGGCCCCCGCAGAATCAAAACAGTATAACTGTTTTTTTTTATATATGTATATGTATATATACAAACATGTATAAACGTAATGATATTGACAATGATATATATTTTGTTATTCGATTAATTTATTCATCGCATGCATTTTATTTCGTATGTGAATTAATGAAACATGCACTGACAAATTAAATTTTCAATCTTGATTCAACCAATAAATGATTGGTAGGTAAACTGAAAATTATAACGTGCAATATTAGGAATGTGGGACGATTGCAATAATTGAATAAAATCATACATGCCATATTCTTATATTTCTTTTATACTTATTATCACTTCCGGATTTTCGAGAGTAGTGGGGCACAAAATGGCGGTCAATGAACAGTTACTCCGACAAAAAGGCATTGTGCGAGCAGCCCGCGAACGGAACGGACGAGTCGTGTGCGTGTGTTTAATACATTATTAAATTTAAAATTAAAAAATCTTTATTCATGTAGGTCTATTATAGACTCTTATGTGACAAATCTACCATCAGTTCGGAATGATTTCGACATGAGAAGAATTGACAGGAAACTCAGCTCGTATTCTTTTCAATTTAGGTACTGTAAAAGTGGTATACAAGGTTCATTACCGTATACATAGATGCTATTTATTGATTATAGTCAAACAAATAAATCATTTACACAACGCCCTCTATTATTTTATTATTAAATCAACTACCAACAATAGATGGCGTATTTAAAATTAAAATGAAATAACTGTTATTGTACAAGCTCTTTCGAAAAAAAAATAAGAGCTGAGTTTCTTATCCGTCCTTCTTGGCTCGAAAGCACTTCGAAGTGACGATGGATTTGACATATCATAAGAGTCTGTAATAGACCTATATGAATAAAGACTTTCTGATTTGATTTTGATGATTTTGAAGTTTCCGAGTTCTAGCTCGAATAAGAACATTTTCTGAGGTAATCTAATGAGTTAATTAAAAGACAAAAGTATATAAATTATTAGAATAATCCAATTATTGCAATGATCCCTGATGTATGACCATTCTATTTTTTTATATTTATAAAACACGTCAGTATATGTAACACATATATTATTTAAATAAATATGTTTATTGAAATAAACTTAAGTTAATTTTTAACAAATTTTTTTTTATTGTTTTTTAAATACCATCTGTTTATAATTATGTTTAGTATTAATAACATATTATTATTAATATAAAAAAATATATATTAAATAATTTTAAATTATTATAGACTGTTAGAGTGGACATACATCATGAAAAATATTGTCTTGAATTAAATTAACTAATTATTAATTTAAATGGCAAAGACAATATTTTTCATTGTGATTACAGGCATAGAAAACTGTTATATGCTGTACTGAAAAAAAAAACATTGAATCACCATGTTTGTGACTAAACGATTTTATAGTAATGTTAATAAGGTTGAGATTACCTTTGCGCGGCCGCCACCAGTCCTCCATGTATCCTGCAAGCGGTGATGCATTGGAAGAGCAGCCTTTTTTTATGGTAGCACAAACACAAACATTGCACCAAAGACTCAAACAGTATTTACTTTTGTATTATCAATGTATTAACTTATACCATGGAATTGTCTCAAGTAATTTTTTCAACAAGAAACTTCTAACAACTGAAGTTAAAGAAAATACCAATATTAGGCTATTATAAATAAGTAACAACGCACCGATTCGGTTAGTTGTTGGGTTTGAATTCCGGAATGTAATATTTTTTAATTAGCTTAAAAATTCACTATCATGAAATTCAAGAATTATTTCCTATGCCTATAATAAATACAGAAGAAATCAGGCTATACTCTTCTACAAAAATGAAACTAAAGTACAATATAGTTTCTTTTGTATTCCTTATGACATATAAAATTCATGAATATCATGTTTGTGAATATTTACTTTCCGAATAAGATGATTATTTGTGATAAATCTCATTGAACAGTGGAGTTTTCACTCCATTAAAATCGATTCTGTATATTTGTGTAATTTTTATGCCCATATAAAACTGATGTTTATTTCAAAATCATAAATTTCATTCCTATTATATTTTTTTAATATAGATACCAAACAATTACAGACAGACAGACAAGACGAGATAAACGGCACAGGGCAAGCCATGGAGAAATAAAATTTTGCCGATTTCATATCTGTTTCCCAAATTCCTACAAAATAAAAAAGGAAAATATCTTGTTTATGATACAGATACAGGGTTAGTCGAAAAATGTCACCATTTTTAGAATTATTAAGTTAGAGTTTGAGAAACAGATAATTTAAAATAAAAATTGGATGGAAAAGTAAATACTGTTGTAATGACTACAGATGTCGTTGGTTCGAAATCACAACATTTGCAAATATATTTGGACTACAATTTTATCTGTGACTTCATCTGGGTAAGAATTTTTTTTTTGACTGAGTTAAAAATTAGACTATATCCATCTCCCTCTGAAATGCTGCGTGTATACGATTATAGAATTGCTATCGATATAGCTAGAGCATTTTTTCTAATTGATATAAACCTATGCGTAATTTTATGTATTGTTCTATTGAGTCATTTTGCTGAAGATTAATAATATGATTACATTAATTAATGTTTGTTTTATTGATATTTACTAAAAAGTTTCTCAAATTTCTGACGGGAGTTGGATATCGGGTTCCACTCAGACGAAGTCACGGTATATGGTTATGTTAGAAACAAATTCTACTGTGGTCTAGAAATTAAATTCAAATTAATTTGACATTATTGCAGTTATTTGCAATACAAATGTAGTACATGATTAATTGCTATTAAAGTTGTTTTTAATCTTTAGAATGGCGATAGGTCCTTCTGTAGCGCTAACGTTCGTGTCGTAATGTTTTAAAAATATAAGCCACATATTAATTGTGACCATAGACAAATTATATTTTACTATTATTTCATCTGTATGTTAGTCTATAAAGTATTTATAATAGGGGCCGTGTAGCCTAATTAAATTGAATAAATCCAAGAAATACTTTTCATAATTAACACAATTAATGTGATATTTAGTTATTTTAGTTGGTATAAAATACAGATATACTTGCAAATGATGTTGTTAAAACCCACACCCAGACATCACAGTTAAACAATTAATAAAATATTAGGGTTGACACATGTACAAATTCTCAAATTGTTAAAAAAAAGGTGACAAACGAAAATGTGATTATCTAAGTTAGAAAAGGCTGGAAAATAGTTAGATAATAACATTTTCATGGTCTAATGTCTAATTTAAGCTGTACGGAACATTATAATGTTTAAAATTAAAATCAGTATTAGAGATGCTGAGCAATAGCCGAGTTTGTAACTAGGAATACATGTTAAAAAAACCTTTGTATAAATATATAACTCTGTAACTGTACCATTGTTGGCAATAGATTTATTATAATTGCTATTTTGAGAATTTGTATGAATACAAGATGCCTTTGAAAAGGTTGCAAGATAATTAGAACCTATTAATCAATTATAGACATTAAAATTTTAATTACTCGACTATGAATCTTGCACAAATCTATAAGGCTTCTTATATATTTTGTATTAATTAGTCATACATTAAATATGAACACATAGTACAAAAATAATGGGCAACTTTATGGACATTATCATGGAATTTTGACAATCAACAGAAAACACCATGCTCTGTATATTCAAGTTTTATTCCAATGACAATGTTGGCCGCCTTTCACTAATTATCAGTGATCAGTACCAGTAATATTTATTGATCCAATTAACATCAATGTAATTTAATTTCCAATAAATAAAAAATGATTATTCTTTATGCTTTCGCATTAAATACACATTATTAATATACCATAAACTTGATCCTGTTAAAACCCATTTAATTATATTAAAAAATAATAAATCTAACTTTATTCTTAAATAATAATGTATTACCCAAATTAATAAGTGAATGATTAATAATTATTTCAAAATGTAGTAATCTAAAAAATAGAGTAATCTCTTAAATATAAATTCCCATAAAATGCGAAGGGCCATAAGTTATATATGATTACATCATATACATCTAATTATATTGAATCATAACTTACCATCTCGCAACTCGGTGACGCCAGAAGTGGTAGTCTGTGTTTGCTTGGCGTATGTGACATTCTCTTTAGGTGGTATGTCAGTGGACTGAACCGACACCACTTGCAACTGGAGAGGCTTCTTGGGACCACTGTTCCGTGAATTAAAAAATACTATAATAAATGACCTGGATATGGTACAGCGCCATCTAGTTATAAAGTAAGTAGTTTCTGTACTATGGGTACTAAACTGATAGAAATTAAAGTTGGAAATTTCAATTAAAAAGGTATCTAATATATAAAATCAGTAGCTGTCCCAGAATACGTTGTTTTGCCTTAAAATAAAAAAAAAATTTAGAGGTGGACTACCCCTAACATTTAGGGGGATGAAAAATAGATGTTGGCCGATTCTTAGACCTACTCAATACGCTCCAAAATTTCATGAGAATCGGTCAAGCCGTTTCGGAGGACTATGGGAACGAAAACTGTGACACGATAATTTTATACATAAGATTGTGTCACAATGTAACAAAACTCCTCTGAAACAACTTGAACGATATTTCTGAAATGTTGTGTATTATATCTTCAGTAGGTTTGAGAAAATATCTAGAATAAACTTGTTTGTTCAATTGACTTTGATTGATAATATGGCACATCTTAAGAGATGTAAAATAAAGAAGACTTCAACAATCTGGCATAACCTTGAATATCTGAGGCTGGATTCTCAATGGGGAATCACCTCTCACGAGATTTTATAACAGTCAAGAAATCTGTGTATAGTCTGGAAGACTGATTGCATAATGTAAAAGAAAAAAAAGAAGTAGGTTTGAGAATAGAATGTAAACCATTTTTCACACCCCCAAGAAATGAGGATGGTCCACCTCCAAAACATCCTAAAGTCACATGAGTTGTCGGATCAGGCAATTTGCAAGCTGGCAGATGTCCTCTACCTCTTTTATGTTTGGTCAGTCCTTAACCTTTTTCTTTATTCAAAGATTTTACATACAAATGACTATTATATAGAACAAAAATTATAAAAATATCAACACTTACCCATGTACTGGTAAGCTTGATTTATCAGTATGCGGGAGACTAACGTCAGGTGAGGCGGTTTGCGGGGGCGTCAATGACGTCATAGACGAGAGCGAGGACAGTACATCCTTCACTGGCGCCACGCCCAAAGACGACAGCATCTCGTCCAGATCCCGGCGGCTGTCCAAGCTGGACGCCGTGGTTGCGCGTTGCTGGATATATTTTATTATTAGTTATTATTCACTACCTGCGTTCCTGGTTTCACCCGCGTGAAATTTATACCCTATATACAATATATGTTATTCTGATGTATAAGCTATATTACTGTAAAGTTTCATCAAAGTCAGTTCAGTAGTTTTTGCATGAAAGAGTAACAAACATCTATCCATATTCACAAACTTTCGCACTTATAATACTCCCCTCCGATCGAGCCCCCGTCAAATTAAAACGGGGATCGATATTACGACAGCCTGAGCCGAGGTTCGAACCCCCAGTGGTGCCTTCAGACTAAAGTCGTATCCGTCAGGCAGGAGTTGGCCTTCAGCCGCTCCATAAGTCCTTCCGCGGGTTTGGAGTGACATCTGCACTCGCGCCCTAAAGTCCAGTGAAGCTGTAAAGGCCAGCTGCGGCCAACAGCATTAGAGTAGTCCGAAAAAAAAATCTTATAATATTAATAAGATTTAGTAGTATCTAGGCTCATTTTAAAAACAGAACTTTACTATGGGATCAAGACAACTTATGAACATTACATTTTTATATTTTGAGCAAAATAATATATGTGAGACCAAGTTAAATTTTGTGTTTTTAGGTTTAGTGGTATCCTCAGCTAAATTTAAACTTTATTTATAAATTTTGACTATAGAGTCATACAAATGAAGGAGGTATGTTGTTCCTTGTGATTAAAGTAGTGGATTAAAAAATATTGCTTACACCATATTGCATTTATTTATAAATACTACCCATATTTTTGCTTTTGTTTGTTATATTCTATTTAAGTATCATGTTTCTTTTCATTTATATTTAAATCCATGCCTCTTTAAGTTTATATGTCATTAAAAATTTAATTTCTTACCAGTGCCTCTTCAGCATCTTTCTGTTCTTTCTCCCTGCGGCGACGGTCCTTCTCCTCACGGAGGGCTTGGAGTTTGGCCTTTTTACGTTCCAACTCCGCCTTCCTGTCAGACATGCTCGACATGGCTGCTTCTAAAAATAAAATAAAAAATTTACTAATATTTGTTCTAACTGGCTAATGAAGAAATGTTTTGTATTTTAAATTTATAGTTACTTTTGTAGACTCTTGTTTTGTTACTTCAATTCCTTCTTTCTATTCTGTTATGTCAGTAGTCTATATTAATATATATTTTTCTCAATTTACCTAGTCTTTTTCTTATTACTACATGAATAAACTACAACAATATTCATTCATTCATCTATACATATAAATAAAATTGGAGTGTCTGTTTGTAATATTGAAATAACCGTTTTTTACTATATGCACATCAACATAAATAGGGTACATACACCAAAATATCATTTTTTACCATTTTTGTATGTCTGTATGTTTGTACCGGCTAATCACTGAAATGGCTGGACCGATTTTGATGGGACCTTTTTTTATGGCAGGTAGCTGATACAATAAGAAGTAACTTAGGCTACTTTAATTTTAGAAAAATTCTATTCTTTTATTTTAGAAAAATAAAGTTAAATTCCATGCAGACGAAGTCGCAGGTACAGCTAGTTATATATATATTATATATTCAAATTTAGAAAACTGTTAAAAATTTAATATTCCATTTAAATAAACACATTAAAATATGTAAAAACATTTTGATTTCTTTATTTGAAGAAGTTGTAATATGGTTTTATTTATATAATAAACTACTATACAGCCTCTATTGCTGAATGTTTTAAAATATATTAATTTTTTTTCAGTGCACTATTTTGTTTCCAGCTTGCCCTTTGGCATAGGTCTTCCAGTATTATAGTTCTTTCTATTTTCGACATTATTTTACTCTGTTTTATAATTAATCTGTAATTTTATTAACAAAACAAATACCTACTGTTGAATTTTGACCAATCTTTTTTAAATTCGATTCATTAAAACTGCAATTTCATTTAGCTAATTTATAACAGAATAACTGTTAAGTACTAAAGGCACATTCTAAGTTTTTTAACTCTTTTGAGAAACCTTACAAACTATCATGTTTACATTTCTGTACTCATTCATATTAAATGTAGCTAACAGAAATGGATTCCAATCAGAAATCACTGATGTCACCTGTGTATGTATGATTCATCTACAACAATTGAAAAAGTCTAAACATAAAATTATTCAGTTATGCTTACCTTTCTTATAACCAGAAACACAATTAAATGATATCAATCATTTTACTATACAAAATATAGAGGCGATAGAACGTGGCAACAGCAAAATATTGTGCCGTAATGGGAATATTGGAATGACAGTATTATGTATTTACAACACTGTGTATCATTATATTTTACTTTTAAAAGGTCCGTCAATTAATCTTTATTTATAGAAGATTTAAGTTATTTTTTAACTAAATCGAAAATGATTATTGGAAATCGGTGAGAATATAATCTTAATAGTGATTGGACGAGTAGTTTTCTTTTTTACGGTAAAAACGGTATTTTTTAACCGAACATATAAATCCGGTTATAAATGGAATTTAAAAATTCTAAATTTAACAATAAAATAATTAAGTGAAATTCAAAAACTCAAAAATGGACTTGAAATCACTCTTTATTTATACAGTAACATTTTTAGACTTTAAATTTAAAACAACATTCTATTACAGCACCACTACGTAAAAATAGCACGTCGTCGCTGCTAATTCCAAATTTACAATGAAATAATAGTTTTCCTAATTTTTTATTATACGTAGCAACAAGAATCATCAAACTTTAAAATTTAAAATTTTGTTATCGTAAAAATAGTAAATTACCGTTTACGCACACCGCTAAGATATAAAATGAAATTGGCAACCCTCAATGTTGTGCCTTAAGTTTTTGTTCTCATTTACAACCGAAATTCTAAATTCTTCCTTTTGATTGGTTTGGTGACGTACAATAGAGATTTAAACCAATTGGGTCAAAAACGCAATCATTATACTAAACATAGAAAACATTGTTGGGTGTTGTCCCATCCGGCTACGGGAATATGACAGAGAAGAAGCGAAGGCATGACAACGCCAGTCAATTTATAGTTTGATCAAACAGTTTTTTATGTTATTGCGAGTGAATAGTAAAGCTAGTTGTTACTCAATAGCCCTTGTTTTAACTTTAATATAATAATGAAATTATGATGAGTAACTTTGGATATTATTTGTTTGTGTTACTTTGCTGTAGCGTTATAAATACTAATGCAGGTTAGTTCAACGACATCTAATTCGAAATTGTTTTCAAATTTATTTATTTAATAGTGCCGCAGGAAACATGTTTATTCTATTAAGTATTCCATTATTGTTTCGTAACATTTCAATTACAAAACCTCTCTAAAGTATTATATTTAACGAATTTTTATGTATTTAATTATTTTTGTTTACATTGCCTGTAAATATGTTGCAAACTATACCTATACCGGTACATACCTGACTGGACAGGACAGTTATTTTTTTTAATAATTAAACAGATATATGGTATTGAATCATATATATAATGTTTAAAAAGATTTTTTATATATTATTATATATATAATATTTAAATATAATGGACTTGGGAAAGCTTACTTGAAAAGAAGTATGAAATAAAAATAGCATTAATTTTGGTAATTATTTTGTCTAATTAGATTTAATTTTAGATCTTTTAATTTCAGAGTCTGCTCGTTACTATTATGATTATGAGTGCAATGAACCACTTCTAGCGTCTGCTAAATTAACAGCCACATCTAGCTTGAGGGACCGAGGACCAGACAATGCCAAGCTCTATGGTAAGCATAAATTTGTATTTTATATTTTTATGTGTGCACTCTTTTGTAAGCAAAATATACTTATATATTAGAGTCTACAGTTTGGCAGTTGCTTCTTTTGTTTTTATGGGTATATTACATTATTAAATATTCATAGTCATACGCAGAATTACTTCATCCATAGACCATCATTGAGCCTATGTTCTACTCTATTTAAAATGTTATGTATATGCCAATTTCTTACTTTTTGGGTAACATGTGAAAGTAAAATTAACTTTGTTTATTTGTAAACAAAGTTTACGTTCCTATTTATTATAAGCAGGATATGATTTTGAAGTTTTACAATATCTTGCACATCACTATAGTCAGGATTTACTTAACTTAAATTTCTATCTTGTACTCATGATTAAAAAATTATATATGAACCCAACAAATGATATTTGATAATGTAATATGCCTCTTACATTATTTTTAAATCTTAGTACATTGATATTTTTTGCATTAGACACTGTATAAAATAAATAGATTCAATAGATTTTTTTTTATGTTTTACAAAAGATTTGGTACTTATGTATCTGCATGTAGGTGCAGTAGAGAAGTGTGTGGTCTTTATTTTGCTAGATTTATATTTTGTTTGCTATATGGGGATGTAAGTTGGAATTTTGAAGAACGTTTGCCGATATTACAGAGGTTAATTAATCTACAGGTTCAGAAACTCTGTAAAAACCTGAATACTTGGGCCATATCTAAGCTTGGATATAGAGATTTGTCTCCAATACTGACACTTACGACCAGATTAAACAGTAAAATGGCTAGACAATGCAATGTTAGATGGGCATTTAACACCAAACTCTGGCATCCAACAGAAGATCAAATATTGCATGCATCAAGTTATATACAAACAGAAGAGAAAGAAAGGATTTCACGGTTCTTTTTTCAAGAAGATGCTAAGTCATCTCTCATCGGACGATTAATGTTACGGAAATATGCACACTTGTCTACACAAATTCCTTATAAAGGTGTTTGTTTAGGTAGAGATGGCTATGGTAAGCCAGTCCTGTTAGGTGTCGGTGATTCAGCAATCAGTTTCAATATTTCCCATCAGGGAGACTATGTTGTGTTAGCAGGCAACACTGATATAAAAGTTGGTGTTGACACAATGAAAATAGAACCCCCAGTTAACAAAGACATAAAGGAATTCTTCCGTATTATGAGACGTCAGTTTTCTAATCAGGAATGGGAGACAATATATGGGTTTGATACAGAATTAGAGCAGATAGCCTGTTTTTATCGATTCTGGTGTCTTAAAGAAAGTTACGTGAAAAACACAGGTTTTGGACTGAGTACACCGCTTCAAGACTTGAGTTTTCGTTTGAAAACTTTGAAGTTAAATATGTCAGACTATGTGAGGGATACAGAACTGTTTGAGAGAGGTATTTTGAAACAGCATTGGCAGTTCGAGGAGACACTACTGGATGAGAAGCATGCCGTGGCAGTCTCTTTACACAATGATGAGGGTGTTGAACAAGAACCTATTCCTTTCACATTTATAACGTATGAAGAACTGGTGCACGAAGCAGAACCTTTAAATCAAACTGACTTTACTTTCCGTGATGATTTTATGAAAAAGAAATTGAAGGATTTTTAAACATTTTAGTGTTAGTGATCATGTCAATCTGTCGAATATTAATTAAGATAGGTGTATGTATATTTGGGTATATATGTTAGTTATACATAAGGGAAGTAATATCTGTTAAATTTTAATTAAACCATTTAAAAACAAACAGTAATTTTTTTTTATAACTAACACATTGCAAATAGGAAGATTTCACCCTTGAAACTATCATCTCTCAACAAGGTTTGAACGCGTGGACGGCGTCAGAGAATGATTTCGACCAGCAGCTGATAATAGATCTGGGCTCGGTAAAGAATGTCACGAGGATCGCCACTCAGGGCCGGCCTCACTCTCAGGAGTTTGTGGAGGAGTATCATATCAGCTACGGGTCCAATGGCCTCGATTATGCCCGGTATAAGGCAGCAGGAGGTGAAATTAAGGTAAAGTTGAATCCAAATTTATTCTCACTAATGACTTGGCAACTGGTATCAAAATGGGGACAACGAGGTTTTGTCGGCATGATGTGCTTTGCATGGTTTCTTCTTGTAGTTAGACATAGAAGCTTGCTTTAAAAATTTATATAGAAGCTTGGTTTTCTTATGACTTGTGCATAAATAATTAAAAATCCTAATTAATTAGTTTTAATTATTAACATTTAATTTTAAATAATATTATCATAACAACATGTGGTAGCAGTTTAAATTTGTAATTTTTTAAACTTACGTCTTATTTTATCTACACATCTATATCTATACATATAAATAAAATTGGAGTGTCTGTTTGTAATATTAAAATCCCATCAAAAACATAAATGTGAAATGATAGCCGAGTTCAATATTATGAAAAGAAGTGAGATCTAAATGGGTTCAGTGGTCTGTCCATAAATGTATTTATAACAATATAAAATATCATTTCTTCTTATAACTTAGGATAATATATTGTAGCCTAAGGTCAGTAGCTGATGTAATAAGTAGTAACTTAGACTACTTTTATTTTAGAAAAATAAACTTAAATTCCACGCGGACGAAGTAAGGGGTACAGCTAGTAACTACATAAATATATATGCGTTTTTAATTAATGTCTTTACGTTGTTATGTTTTTGTCTTTCGCAACAATTGTGACCACTTTATCAGGAATTCTTTGAGTGTTGTAAATAATTGTCGTGAAAGAATATAACATATTAAGTTCTTGATTCCCATGCATATGGTAGATGAAAAAATGTTCGTTTACAAGAATAAAACTCCCATATATATGGTAGTTGAAAAAAGTTAGTTTAACTTTAAGAAAAAAATAATATAAATGCTGTTATGATAATATAAATGAACTGCTCAACTAATTCACACGTAGAATTCAGATCTACATAAATCACAGCTGTTCACTTCATACAGTAATATGTAAAATATATAGTACCTCATAAATTATATAAGGTCGGACCGCGCATGTGACAATCCTGGTTTACAGGCGTCCATATGCTGCGGAGACCGTTTATGATCAAATGGGCCGTATGATTATTTGCAAATGTCGTATTATAAAAAAAATTGTCTTATATGAAATCATCGGATGTGATCTAGCTGTGATTTTAAAACTTTCGTACGATTTTTCCACTACTCGCGTAGTTCTTAAAACAAATATAGAACTGAATAAAATAATGCCGGCCCACATGTTAATTGCTACGGTTGTGTTGTACAGGTTTCTCAAACAATTTAGTACCAAATTATACACTGCCTTCAATTTTGAAAAACAAGGCGTATTTTTTTTATTTTGATTTCGTCATGTTGATGATGAAATCGGAAGGTAGTTCTGGTAACCTAAAAAATTTACATGTCAAATTTATGAAAATCAATAAGATTTTAAGGTTTATAAGGTTATGATAGGTAAGGTAAATAGCCTTACCTATGATAACCTTATAAATGCTATATGTATAGCATAGCAAATAAACAATAATCAGTAACAGGCATAAAAGGCAAAACAAATCTTTTTTGTGTCGGTAAATAAGAGTAAAGAATTTTTAAACCTACAACTATAATAAATAACAACAGAATTAATCATAAAAAATGGAATAATATTAATGACTGTCTGTTTTTATATGTCGGTAAATAATATAAGTAATAAAGCCGTTTTTTAAATGTACAGCTGAACTGATAGTGATTTAATGTAGCTTGAGAGGATTACATTGATAAAGTACTACGTCCGGTGAAGCTGTGAAATCTGCAGCCAAAAGTATTAGATATTTCGAAAAACAATGGAAAAATCGTACGCTTAGTATAGAGCTGAACTGTACAGCACTGACTAACTTATAATGGTGAAGGAACCTCAGCATGGACCTCGCTGGAAAGCTCTTACTACCAGCACCTGACGATAAACCTGGGGAAGCGCAAGGAGCTGCGCAGCGTCGCCACTAGGGGGCGGTACGCGACTGATGAGTACGTCACAGAGTATATGTTGCAGTATTCTGATGATGGAGAGAGTTGGAGACTCATGTCGTCGGCAGGTGGATTTGCGCAGGTAATTTTTAGTAAGAACTTATGCCTATGAGATATAATAGCCAAAAGGCATACGTTCTTAAGGTTATAACCTAGTCGTTACTAAGAACTTATGCCTTTGAGAGCTAATAGCCAAAAGGCATACGTTCTTAAGGTTATAACCTAGCCGTTACTAAGAACTTATGCCTTTGAGAGCTAATAGCCAAAAGGCATACGTTCTTAAGGTTATAACCTAGTCGTTACTAAGAACTTATGCCTTTGAGAGCTAATAGCCAAAAGGCATACGTTCTTAAGGTTATAACCTAGTCGTTACTAAGAAATTATGCCTTTGAGAGCTAATAGCCAAAAGGCATACGTTCTTAAGGTTATAACCTAACCTAGCCTTTCTTGTGGATGATAATGGCATGGTGCAACCATCTGCGCTAACGGTATACGCTAGCGGGGCACCAGTGATAAGATGAACACGAGGTCAGGTCAGTTAGCCCACCGTGGTGAATTCTCCAGGAATTTATCACGATGGTTTCCAGGTTCCAACCATTTGGAGACCAACCTAACATGGTACATTGGTTTGGTAGCAATAGGGTTACTAGTTACATTACTAATAATCACCTTCCCCCACCGAGTTGAGGTTATGAATTCAAATCTGGTGATAACAATAAACTTTATAAATTTTATCCAATGAAGAAATCTCTAATAACAAATGAAATCTATTAATCTATACATATAAATAAAATTTGAATGTGTGTTTGTAATATTGAAATAATAGTTTTTTACTACATGCATATGAATATAAATACGGTACATATACCAAAATAACATATTTTACAATTTTTGTTTGTCTGTCTGTCAAAATGGCTGGACCGATTTTGACGGACTATTTTTGGCAGGTAGCTGATGTAATAAGGAGTAACTTAGGCTACTTTTATTTTAGAAAAATAAAGTTAAATTCCACGCAGACGAAGTCGCGGGAACAGCTAGTGTTAGATATAAATGTACTCAGTAAATTGTGGGCATGTCGTGTTGTGAATGTGGGATTGCAGTTGTGAGGGTATATATAAGAAAATAAGGGTGGTATATATGGGAAATACTAATGTGTCACCGCAGCTTCGTCGGTGGTTCTTCCAGTCGGACTAAGCCGAGAAATATCTCTGAGTTTGTATACATAAACGTAAAATGTAATGTAGTATGTCATACCGGAATAATGTATCTTTCAAATAAGGAAGTAGTGGTTTGGGTGTCTATTTTTCTCATAAGCACTCTCTCTCTCTCTCTCTCTCTCTCTCACTCAGACAGATATATATATAACAGTATACATAGATTAGTATTGGTGTGTACTTTGAGTGGTGTATTATAGTTTACTAATTCCAAGAAAGTTATTTATTTTACTAATCAAATAATTATATTGTTAATCAAAATGTTAACATGTATATACCTAACAAATGTCTCTTTCTATAACCTTTTTTTTAAATCTAATTAAAAAATAACAGACCAAGTACGGCCCTTTTTTTTTTAAATGAAACCCAAAGTGTAAATACATACCTGATTTATAATCTGTACATCCTTCATATTCGAACACTGTCAAAATATAAATTGGGAAGTAAAAATAGAATAATATAATAATTGTTATTAAACTGTTAATGTAAATCTACTTAAAACAACATATATTTAAAAGAGCAACACACAAGTTTCTTGCTCGTTCTTCTTGCGATGAGTTTGCGTTCCGAATGAGCGGTAGAATAAAAAAAATATGACTATTCAAAAGTGCTTATATTAAGTTTACTTTAATTGTATTAAATATCTGCGCTATACTGACTTTAAAACACTACTTTACCATATTACAAATAGAAATAAACTTCTATTTGTAATATGGTAAAGTAGTGTTTTAAAGTCAGTATAGCGCAGATATTTAATATAGATCAGTAAAAAAAACATAACTCATAACTATCATATTTTTAGCAGTCGGTTACAGATATCGTGCTATTGTTCGATTACTCAATCCCCCGCAATGATGCGGCATGTGAATTCACCAGCTGTGAAACATTAAATTACATGACAGGTTAAAAAGTGTACATAGGTTCCGACGTCTACTCACACGCACAACGGCACACATAATAATAATAATAAGGGGAGGCATTAAGAATAAAAAAATAACAAAAAAAAATCGTGGATAATTCACACAGCGCCATCTAGTCCCAAGTTAAGAAGTGAAGCAGAGTTTGTGTTATGGGTCCTCCCAACTTACGAAGTGAAGCAGAGTTCCTAGAAAACTGGTAGAAATACTTAAATATATTTTTTTCATAATACATACATAATATGCATAAAAAACATTTACATTGGTCTGGGTCCAAACAAACGAAAGGTCATGGATATAACTGTTGAGCAAGGAATTGAACCCGCGAGCATGTAGAATGATTTAAACCACTGTACCATTGAGGTACGATACGAAATACGCGATTTTAGTTCACGACGCGGGTGTGCGTGGCCATGACTACTAACAAAACAAGGGAGTGGTCCCTTCATTTCATACATACACTATAGTTTCGATATATCTTATTATTAATTAATATTATAAACGCTAAAGTTTATGAGTATGGATAGATGTTTGTTACTCTTTCAAGCAAAAACTACTGAACGGATTTTGATGAAATTTTACAGTAATATAGCTTATACATCAGAATAACATATAAGGCTATAAATTTTATGTGGGTGAAACCGGGGGCACAGCTAGTACCCCATACGTAGGTACTATATCATAGAGTCGGTCGACTTCGCACACCTCCTATAGCCCAATATGCGGTTTAAATTAGTCTGGTAGGATAAGGAACCAAGAAAACTGTCTGGCAATTTAGGAAACTCAGTTTGAGAGAACTCTCAATAATATATATAAATTTCAGCTTTATTAAAATGACGGAAGTTTATTTATAAAATAGTATAGTTTAGGGGGGTCCGGCGGGGGGTTGGATCCATACTAAGGGTCTGGCAACGAGCAGAGCAAGTTATAATACTGTTACGAGCAATATGTGAAAAAATGGAGCATCTTAAAATAACGAATTTGATATGAAATTGTATACACCATTATTACCTAATATACGGTTTCAATGAGTCTGGTAGGATAAGGAACCAAGAAAACTGTCTGGCAATTTAGGAAACTCAGTTTGAGAGAACTCTCAATAATATATATAAAGTTCAGCTTTATTAAAATGACGTAAGGTTATTTCTAAAATAGTATAGTTTAGGGGCGCCCGGCGGGGGGTTGGAACCACACTAAGTGTCTGGCAATGAGCAGCGCAAGTTATAATAATGCTACGAACAATATATGAAGATATGGAGTTTCTTAAAATAACGAATTTGATATGAATTTTTTTACACCTTTGTTACCTGGTACCTGCCAAAGGAACCACGATCCAGGTTTCATGTTTGGGGATCGTTCTTACCTGTGTTGGGGACACACATACAAGAACTTTCACGTTTACTAAAATGACGTATGTCTGGCCGTCGTGGGCTCTTGCTCTACTATGATTGTATAGGGAACTATTTTTTAATAATACATAAACATTACATTGTCTTTGCGTTAGTGCGCGCTAATTTTTAAAACATAAATTACTGATAACGTGGCTTTCAGTAAGTAAAAAAAGTTATCCGTTACAAAAAAACTTGCAGTGTAATAAAAATAAATTCATAATATCCTTCCACTTTATAATGTTAATACCAATATTATTGTACTGTATTTAAATATTTAAATAAATAAAATGCAAAATTGCGCTTCACATTAAATTAGGCCGTTCCCTCCATTTTTACAATCAGGCTCTGTCAACTGCACAGAGTACGTTATGATTATGAACAATATTAATTATGCCACAGACTATATATACTACAATTATAAATTCGAATGTATGTCTTTTTGTTACATTTTCATGAAAAACGTTAAAGTTATTTGACATGGAAGATATATTGTAAAACGTTGACGAATACAGGCTCAACAAAATAGAGAAAATCAAAATATCTTTATTCATGTAGCTGACTCTTATAATGTCAAAAATTCTCTCTGTTCGAAGTGCTCTCGAGATCAGAAGAACTGAAACAAAAGAAACTCAGTTCGTATTCTTTTCAAATATGGCATGTTTACAGTAATACAGATTCATTTTTTAATTAAAATTAAGGAGAATAGAGTGCACCACTAGCAGATGCTATTGCAATTTTGTCAAAAGCAAATAGTATCATCAGTGCTCGTAACCCCAACAGATCAGTCACCACAAGGAGCTCCCGTTCACGAGTATGACGGAACGGATCGGACCAGACCGGTCAGTTTATATAATTATGATACGCATTAAATTTCAGATGTTCGAAGGTAACCAAGATGGGAACACAGTGCATAGAAATGAATTCGAAGTGCCTATAATAGCTCAGTTCATTAGAATCAATCCAATGCGGTGGCGGGACAAGATATCAATGAGGATTGAAGTCTATGGTTGTGATTATGGTATGCTGCTCACATCATATTATTATACACATACTAGCTGACTCTGCAAACGTTGTTTTGCCTTATATATTAAAATCGCTATTAAAAAATAAGGGTCGATGGTAGAAGTTATTTAGGATTCCAAGTATTTTTAATGCCACAAGGTAGAAAAATAAAAAAAAGTCTCAAAAATAAATGATATGTTAGGGTAACCCTTATCACTAAGGGGTATGGGATAAAAAATATAATTTCAATTTTAGAAATGCTTGGCGGACCGTAAGACGTTAAAGTTTGTGAGTAAGTATGGATGTTTGTTACTCTTTCACGCAAAAACTACTGAACGGATTTTAATGAAACTTTACAGTAATATAGCTTATATATCAGAATAACATATAGGCCAAAAGTTAAAAAGATATAATGTAAATTGGGTGAAATATAGTGATAAGTGTGATGCAGACGAAGTTTTGCGGGTCAGCTAGTCAGTTACAACGGGCAGCGTGTTGCTCTCCCACCAAAATACCAATTGTAATAAAAAAAAATATTTAGTTTCATTATTTCCTCAGTTGCTGATACGATGTACTTCAACGGAACCTCGTTGGTCAAGGTGGACCTCCTCCGCGATCCGGTATCCGCGTCGCGGGAGACGATTCGCTTCAGGTTCAAGACCAGTACAGCATCAGGGGCGTTGCTGTACTCGCGCGGCACCCAGGGTGACTACGTCGCGCTGCAGCTCAGGGACAACAGGCTGGTGTTCAATATAGACCTTGGTATGTTGTAGCGTAGCAGTCTCATCTCTCCATAGTATAAAACAAAGTCGCTCCCGTTGTCTGTTAGCTTAGATCTTTTAAACTGCGTAACGGATTTTAATGTTGTTTTATTATTAATCTATTACCAACCTCCCCTCTTCTTGCATAGGGCAAGCCCACGTGTTAATTTTCTCCACGTTGGTAATCTATTACCTACGGTCTCCCCTCTTCCCTGACCAAGTGTTAGTCTACTCCACGTAGTAGGCGCAGGTAATCTATTACAAACTGCTAGAAGGGGGAGATTCCTTACTACATGGCAGTGTGTTAGTCTACTCCACTTAGGGCACTGGTAATCTATGACTCGTGGTAAAGTCCCGACTCGAACCCGAGTATTCCCGTGACGGCACAAGCGCTGCAAGTACACTCTCTAGCTCGTTAGGTCTCGTCATGTCTTGTCGAGAGTGAACTGCTGGCTAAGTGTTACAACGGCATCTTGCTTTAACGCTGGTTACCTATTACCAACTGCCTCCTCTCTTCCCACGTTGGTCGCAGGTAATCTATTACCAACTGCCTCCCCTCTTTCCTACTGCAAAGCCGTGTGTTAATCTACTCGACGTCGGGCGCAGGTTCTGGCACGGCGACGTCTCTGTCGGTGGGCAGCCTGCTGGACGACAACATCTGGCACGACGTGGTCATCTCGCGCAACCGCCGCGAGCTGCTGTTCTCGGTGGACCGAGTCGTCGTGCAGGACCGCATCAAGGGGGAGTTCTCGCGGCTCAACCTCAACAGAGCTGTCAGTATTTATATGACTTAATTAAAGATGTAGTATATATGTATCTTGTACCATCAACACCGTTAACCTCAATTTTTGCTTGTATTTGTTAATACTAATGCATAGTATTAAAGAATACAAATTGCCGGTAAAAATTTGAAACAAATTAGAAAAAATAAATCCAGCAATTGCAATATTTGTTTAAGCTTTTGGTACTTTTTTTGATGGCGTAATATGTAGTAATCAGATCAGGGTTGTTAACTATCGATTTTTTTCTACCTGGTGTTAGGCAGAGCTTGTGTTATGGGTCTAGTACCCATAACACAAGCTCTGCTTAATCACCACACAACTGATGTAAATACTTCGATTTTTTCTATAAATTCCTACATAATATACATAGAAAACACCCAAATCGATAAAAACTATCATACTAATGAAAATTAATATTTGTACAGCGAGGAATCGAATTCGCAATCATTGAAAGTAAAGCGATGTGCTAAACTGCTCGACCACCGAAACCGTCATTTACATCAATTAACTTTCCCATATATTTGTTTCTTAAATCAAAGATAAATAATAATGTATTTTTATTGATATTATTTTCAGATATACATAGGAGGCGTGCCAAATTTCCAAGAAGGCTTAGTGGTGAATCAAAACTTCACTGGCTGCATAGAGAACATGTACTTGAATGCTACCAACGTGATCCAAGATCTCAAAGCCGGTTATGATGCTGGAGAGCCCTTCAAGTTCCAAAAAGTTAACACACTATTTGCTTGCCCTGTAAGTAATAAATTATATTTTGCTGTGTCTTGCAATGTTTTTTTCTGTGATGAGTCTATGTTCAGATTGAGTAGTAGATTAAAAGAATATGACTGTTAAGTGTGTTTATATTAAGTTTATTTTGATTAGTTTCTATTTCTAAGATTGAAGGAAATGAGACAGAGGGAGTCCCCCTCTGTCTCATCTAGTTATAATAGTAACTAGCTGTGCCCGCGGTTTTACTCGCGTGAAATTTATAGTCTATATATTATTCTCATGTATAAGCTACATTACTGTAAAGTTTCATCAAAATCGATTTAGTAGTTTTTGCGTGAAAGAGTAACAAACATCCATCCATACGCACAAACTAAAAAGCTATTAAACTTTCGCGTTTATAATATTAATCATCTCATCTCAGGATAATTCACACAGCGCCATCTAGACCCAAGTTAAGCTAGCTAGAGCTTGTGTTATGGGTACTAGATAACTGATACATATACATAGATATTTTTTTTTTGTAAATACATACATATTATATATAGAAAACACCCAGACCGATACAAACAATCATACTCATGAATACAAATGTTTGTGCCGTGCGAGGAATCGAACCCGCGACCATCGGTCGTAAAGCGGTGTGCTTGACCGCTAGACCACCGAGGTCGTCATATGTCTATATTAATAAGAATAGAAATGAAGATTTCATAAATATGTTGTACCAGGAACCACCAGTAGTGCCTATAACGTTCCTGAAGGAGGGCTCATACGCTAAGCTACGCGGGTACTCCGGCGGGAACTCACTCAACATCTCGCTGGAGTTCAGGACGTATGAGAACCACGGCCTGCTCATATATCACCACTTCAAGAACGACGGAGATGTTAAGGTCAGTTGTACGTCTTTATTTATTTATTTATTTAGGAAGATTAACGGTGTAATTTTACATGTTACTTGTCATATAGAATTGTCCTATGCCAATTAATAATCTTCGCCAATAGTATTACCAGATTAAATTTTTCATTAGCCAATTTTAACATATTGAAGTAATCACGTTACAGTGTTTCAGTTGTAGTTATACAGTACAAGTAAATAGACCAACATACCCACAAGTAGCGATGTAATTATATGATTTATGACCATTTATAATAGAGTTGTTAGTAAAATATCGTAATGTTTCTATAGTTATGAACAATTTAATAATAATATCCGGGTACAATTCGCACATCGACCCAGATAGAGATCTAGTTTAAAGCTAAGCAGAGCCTATATAATGGGTACTAAACAACTAATAAATATACTTAAAAATATATTTGTAAATACATATAAAACACTCAGATCAAACGATTATAACATGAATAGAAATACATATTTGTTTCGTGCAAGGAATCGAACTCACTACCAACAGAAACGCCAAACCCCAATAAAATCGATACTATAAATACAAATGTTTGTATCGTACGACCAAGCGACCAACGGAAGTATAACGGTGTCTTCATACTTTGAAATTGGCATATCTTCATCAAACCAGAAAACAGCATACAAACAACCTGCTAATGGCAAAAACTAGGTGAGGACACTGGTATCCAAGACATTCTTCCTCTGGTAACAAAAGATTAATTCATCAGGTATTCCTAGAAGAAGGGAAAATCAAAGTGGAATTGGAGATGGCTGGATCCCCTCGCGTGAAGCTGGACAACTATGCGGAGGAGTTCAACGACGGGCGCTGGCACGCGCTGATGCTGACCATGGGTGTTGACAACCTCGTGCTGTCCGTTGACTACAGACCTGTGAAAACCACCAAGAAACTCCGGTTCTTCACTGGGAGCACTTATTATATTGCTGGTCAGTGTACTTTAGAATGAGATGAGATAATGTATTGTGTAGTTTTTTATTTATATATTGCTTCAGTTAACTTAATATTATGTATGTAACAATATTTCACCCATATAGTATATACCATAAGGACTGACATATATATAAAATAATAATATTGTCTTTGTGGTCACCACATTCACTGTCAATCTGCCACGGTAGCAACGGTACACCACTACCTTCGGTTAGTAGTCTTCCATCATGAAGGTTGGTGGGGGAGCAGGACCACTCAGTTAATATCTAAGATCCGGAATTAATTATATCTTTATATTAATGTAGTTAAAATAAGTGACATTATTCCAAGCAAAGGGTAACTACTTATCACATTCTACATCATACCAATGATATACAGACAAGATATTGACAACTCATGTATCTACTTATATGAATCCTTTCCTTTTTTTCCTTATTCTTTTAACGGAAGAGATTATTTTGTAAGAATTTAGAATGGAAATACGTCACCTATACTGAGATTGAAAGGAACAGCTATGTTTATTAATAGATTCGCTCGCGATTTCTCTATAAATTCATCATTCAAGTCCATCAAGTGAGTCGATGTAAAAGTCGATGTAAAATAGCTTACTTTCATATTTCTGTGTAGAATTTCTTTCCGTTAAACAATATAATTTAAATATATATTTCATAATAGGCGGGAAGTCTCCACCCCGAGGGTTCATCGGATGTATGCGCAAGATTGCAGTAGACGGCAACTATCGCCTTCCGACCGACTGGAAAAAAGAAGAGTATTGTTGCCCCAACGAGGTCGTGTTCGATGCGTGCCAGATGATCGACAGGTGACTATTTTACTGTATTATCAGGACCATAGATATATAGTATAAAATAAAAACGAGTTGATCTTACTGATTACCTTACAGCTTATTCGACTAGCAAATGATGAGCATCATCTGCCATCTGAATATTCTGAACCTCTCGGAAAAAAGGTTCATTCCTGTTTGCGTAATATTTTCCACATATTACAGGAAAGTAAAAGTGGGTTCGGTTCTCGTACAGATCATTCATTATAACTTCATGTGTTTAATAAGAATATGTGTTTAATATCTCTTAAATACTAGTAAGTATTTAAGAGATATGTATAGAGTGTAATTATATGTTTAAAGTATGTTAATAAATACTTCTTTATATAATCAGAGCTTTATATTTAGTTCTTTTTAGGGACCGAATTGTTACTTGTTATTCCATGATTGTGTATAGGGAAGCAGACTCGTTACAAGAAGGAAGCAAGAAAATTGCGTGTTGCGTTTTAAAGTTTCAAAAAACTAACAACATTTATTTTAAAGTTCAGAATTACATATTTAAGTTTTGTGTCAATAATAAATGCTCAATAGCAAGATTGACAAAAGATTATAAGCATAAAAGATACTTGGGTAACAAAATAAATCAGTAATGGTTATCAGAGCAGACCATTCTCTAAAAGCTAAATAATTGTTAGTGATATGAATTTTCGTTTGCGTGCGCAGATGCAATCCAAACCCGTGTGAGCACGGCGGCACGTGCTCACAGTCGGCGGCAGAGTTCTCCTGCGATTGCCACTCCACGGGCTACGCCGGCGCAGTCTGCCACACATGTGAGTTACCACACTGACCACCTACCACTACGCAACACAACACCCACCACCCACTAAGCGACTCAACATCCAACACCCTTTCTCACCCTCATAGTGTACGCCCACCATCATGCAATACAACACCCACCGCTCACCACGCGATACAACACCCTCTCCTCGCCACACTCGCACCACACGCCACGACACTGTACGCCCGCCACCATGCAATACAACACCCACCGCTCACCACGCGATACAACACCCTCTCCTCGCCACACTCGCACCACACGCCGCGACACTGTACGCCCGCCACCATGCAACACAACACCCACCGCTCACCACGCGATATAACTCCCTCACCTCGCCACACTCGCACCACACGCCGACCCCAACACAACATCCACCGCCCACCACGCGATACAACATCTTCATCTCGCCACACTCGCATCACACGCCGCGACACTATACACCTACCACCATATATCACAACAGCTACACTTCTTCACACGCGAATAATCAGTCACGCAGGAAAGAATGTGCATGTAAACGTAGACAAAGAGAACGAGAAAGATCGTGCGCGCCTCTGACTCGACCATTCTCGCATCCAGCGATCGTTCGTGCTTTAGCGCCTTTTCATAATAATTTAATTTATATTGTATGATATAGTTATAGAGTATTGCTAATTTTGAATAACCTACGCTAAATAACGCGCACTTCTTATCGCGCGTGAAAGAATGTGTCGTGTAAAGGCAGCATTTGATGATGGTCTTGCGGTTTAGCGCACTGCTTTACTTCGGTTAGTAACTAGTATCCATAACATAAGCTTTAGCTAACTTGGGAGTAGATAGCACTGTGTGAATTGACCTGGGATTCATATTATTTTCATGCCCATTGTTAACTGCGCGAAAGGCTATTGGCGCGTGTAAGAGTGTATGTAAAGTGAGGTATTTTGTTGTTTGGACACAGCGATGCACCCGGTGTCGTGCCAGGCCTACAAGAACGTGGCGTCCGTGTCCCGCGCCGCCGACGTGCTGCTCGACGTCGACGGCTCGGGCCCACTGCCGGCCTTCCCCGTCACCTGCCACTACTATTGTGAGTATGCTACGTCGTATACGACAGATCACTGGTCGCAAGTTCGATCCCTGTTAGATTCTGTGTGCATTGTGCCTCTTTATTTGATTTGTGGTAGATGTGTTCAAACGTAAGAAATTTAAGTCCAATTGGAAAGTGTAAGGAAATAAGGAGAAAATACCATTTAATTAGTAGATTATTATCTGAATAAGTATCTCGGAAATTATAATTGATCACGAAGTTGTAGCATGAAATTTCATATTTAATGGTCCTTCGAGCCGGAACATTTAAACAGATTTTTAATGTTCAGTATTTGTAATCAACCGTGGACCCAGCAAACATTCCTTCTTTGATTGATTTAAATGTGTAATACCAAACTAACGGTGATGCCTGTGGCGGTGGTGATGCAGCGGACGGGCGCGTGGTGACGGCGGTGCGCACGTCTGCGGGCGGCGCCGCCGTGGACGGGCACCAGGAGCCCGGCTCGTTCCGGCAGGACGTGCACTACGACGCCACGCGCGCGCAGCTCGAGGCGCTGCTCAACCGCTCGCGAGCCTGCTCGCAGCGCCTCGACTACGCCTGCCGCCACTCGCGCCTCCTCAACTCGCCCAGTGCGTACGCTCCTCCACCTCCTCCACCTCCTCCACCTCCTCCACCTCCTCTATACAGGACGTGCACTACGACGCCACGCGCGCGCAGCTCGAGGCGCTGCTCAACCGCTCGCGAGCCTGCTCGCAGCGCCTCGACTACGCCTGCCGCCACTCGCGCCTCCTCAACTCGCCCAGTGCGTACGCTCCTCCACCTCCTCCACCTCCTCCACCTCCTCCACCTCCTCTATACAGGACGTGCACTACGACGCCACGCGCGCGCAGCTCCGAGGCGCTGCTCAACCGCTCGCGAGCCTGCTCGCAGCGCCTCGACTACGCCTGCCGCCACTCGCGCCTCCTCAACTCGCCCAGTGCGTACGCTCCTCCACCTCCTCCACCTCCTCCACCTCCTCCACCTCCTCTATACAGGACGTGCACTACGACGCCACGCGCGCGCAGCTCGAGGCGCTGCTCAACCGCTCGCGAGCCTGCTCGCAGCGCCTCGACTACGCCTGCCGCCACTCGCGCCTCCTCAACTCGCCCAGTGCGTACGCTCCTCCACCTCCTCCACCTCCTCCACCTCCTCCACCTCCTCTATACAGGACGTGCACTACGACGCCACGCGCGCGCGCGCGCGCAGCTCGAGGCGCTGCTCAACCGCTCGCGAGCCTGCTCGCAGCGCCTCGACTACGCCTGCCGCCACTCGCGCCTCCTCAACTCGCCCAGTGCGTACGCTCCTCCACCTCCTCCACCTCCTCCACCTCCTCCACCTCCTCTATACAGGACGTGCACTACGACGCCACGCGCGCGCAGCTCGAGGCGCTGCTCAACCGCTCGCGAGCCTGCTCGCAGCGCCTCGACTACGCCTGCCGCCACTCGCGCCTCCTCAACTCGCCCAGTGCGTACGCTCCTCCACCTCCTCCACCTCCTCCACCTCCTCCACCTCCTCTATACAGGACGTGCACTACGACGCCACGCGCGCGCAGCTCGAGGCGCTGCTCAACCGCTCGCGAGCCTGCTCGCAGCGCCTCGACTACGCCTGCCGCCACTCGCGCCTCCTCAACTCGCCCAGTGCGTACGCTCCTCCACCTCCTCCACCTCCTCCACCTCCTCCACCTCCTCTATACAGGACGTGCACTACGACGCCACGCGCGCGCAGCTCGAGGCGCTGCTCAACCGCTCGCGAGCCTGCTCGCAGCGCCTCGACTACGCCTGCCGCCACTCGCGCCTCCTCAACTCGCCCAGTGCGTACGCTCCTCCACCTCCTCCACCTCCTCCACCTCCTCCACCTCTTCCACCTTCTCCATCTTCTCCACCTCCCCCACCTCCTTCACCTCCTCTACAGCCGCGTCCCACCAGGAACTAGCTCGTTCTACAAGATATGCAGTACTCTCTACGTTACAGTGTCACAATGACATTATGCTAGTGGTACTGGTCCGACAAATACGCCATGGTTGCCACTACTATCAGTCTATCAGCTTTTTAGCATATCATTACCTAAAAATTAAATGCAATGGCAAACAAGTGGACTTGTTGATAAATAGCAACAGTCGGCTATATACCTGAGCAGTACTGCGAGCATTACGTCATTTAGTGCCACCCGTTGGATCCCTCATGCTTTGCCATTGCAGCGGACTGTGATATTCTTGCCTCTACACCCTGTATAATTTTACCGTTCTTTTTCAAACAAAAACACGATGTATAAAGTGAGTTATATGGTGATTGAAATTGGTGGACCACATATTCACATATATAATTTAGTATAAATTTTACTTCAGTAATAGCAATATAGTGAACATCTTATCTTAAAAAACCTTTTCATTTTGACAGGTAATAAGGTTCTATTTATGTAAACATTTTCTTATAAAAGTGTGTAATTTTCAAAATATAGAATTTAAAAGACAATTAACCTTTTCTAATATTTTTAATGTAATAGATGATGATATCAATTAATTAAAAAATAAGGTATTATTTTTAAAATTACCGACTTATTTTTTAATGAGTGGTCACTAGTCATATTAGTAATTTATATTTTGCTTTTATATCTTACATCCTTACAAAGATCGTTCTGTAATACTAGCACGATATGAGCGGGGCAGGTAGTAGAACGTTCTAGTAGCTGCCTAAAGTGTGAGTAGTTTGTGGAGCGATGGTGATGGTGGTGGTGGTGTGTGGTGTGGTGTGCAGGCGAGGAGGGCACGTTCCGTCCGTTCGCGTGGTGGGTGTCCCGCAGCGGACAGCGCATGGACTACTGGGCCGGCGCCACGCCCGGCTCCAGGAAGTGCGCCTGCGGCCTGCTCGGCGCCTGCACCGACCCCACCAAGTGGTGCAACTGCGACGCCGAGCATCCCCACCTCGCGCCCGCAGGTAACTACCACGCTCCGCGCGGATACAGTTCTACACTAGAAACAATGAGCATTCAAAAAATATGGATACCACGTTTAATCGAGTCTTTCCTGTAGCTATTCTTACACGTAACCTCTTTCACGCTCGAATTTTACACAGGAAATAATGTGCATGTAAAAAAAGATTAAAAGTAACGATACCACACCACATTTAATCGAATCTTCCCTGTAGCTACCTTTACACGTACCCTCTAAGGCGCGGATTCACATTTACACAGGAAATAATGTGAATGTAAAAGAGAAAAGAAAAAAATAATAATAACGATACTTGTGTCTTTAAGTTGTGAATTTTAATCTAAAAGTAATCGAAAGTCGAAAGACTATAGCAGAAGATTCAAGAAGAGTATATTAAAGTTTCTTAACAATCGGTAACGCCCACCCCTGGCGTTTCAAGCGCCCATAGGCTACGGTAACCTTTTACCATCCGACGGGCCGTATACTTCTTTACCATCTACATGGTAAAACAAAAATGATAATAATCTGTATCACAAATATATCAATGTTATACATTTAGTCCTGGCTTTCGAAATACGTAAAACTGTAACAAACGTCAGTTATATCCAACATATTCTAAACATATAAATAACATTTGTGGATAGTTGTATATATAAACAAAAAAATATATACACTTATGTATTGGTGTATAAAATAAAGTCGACAATTACATAAGTAAATTAATTCCGTACCAATGAAATGAATTACTATAATTTATTTGAATGAATTTAATTGGTATAAAAATAAGCATCTAATGAAACACTGATCTATGAAATAAATAATCGACTTCATTAAATTATAAGTATTTTTTTGACAGAATTTCAAACAGACGGCGGTGAAATCACAGAGAAAGAGTTCCTACCTGTCAAGCAGCTACGGTTCGGCGATACGGGCAGCCATCTTGATGAGAAAGAAGGACGATATACACTCGGACCGCTCATGTGTGAAGGAGATGGTAAATATTATATTCTTTAATCATTTATGTTTTCAGAATACAATGTTACAAGAAGGTGTTACAATTTAAAATTGTTTAACACATGTTATTTTCGTTATTCGTGTATATAAAATATGAGAATTAGAATATGAGAAGAATTTTATTAAAGTCCTAATAACGCTATTAAAATGAGGGTTTGAGGATAGAAGGGTGAAATTTTAGGGTTGTATCTATTTTATAATATTGAATCACAAAATAAAGAAATAAAAAACAGAAGACTATTAAAATTGTGCATAAAAAATACATAATGTACAAACACATTTGTAAACATGTACAATATCATTTGAAAAAAATACAAGCTGATTTTCTTGTCAGTTGTTCTCAACTCGAAAACACTCAGAACTGACGGTAGATTTGACATTATGATATGTCAATTCGTAGTGCTCAAGCTGAGAAGAACTGAGCTCTCAATATGAGAGTCTGTAATAGACCTATATGAATATAGAAACAAGAGCAATAAAAAAAAATTACACACACTACTATTATTTACATATTACACGACCGATAACAAAACATCGATGTCAAATAATCTCAATATTGTTAATTGTCAAATCAGCGAATCGAGCTTTGTGTCTGTGCTATTATTGAAATAATCTATGTACTAATATGTGAAGCAACTAAGCAAGTCTTTGACAATAGAATCTTAATATAGTTCAAACTAGTAATAATGTTTAAATTAATTATGGTCGAATATCAACCATTAGTTATTATTCTTATGGACACGTTCCATCTCTTGCAGACCTGTTCAGCAATGCTGTGACGTTCCGCATCGCGGATGCAATAATATCCCTGCCCACGTTCGACCTCGGCCACAGTGGCGACATCTATTTCGAATTCAAGACCACAAAGGAGAACGCAGTATTACTACATTCGAAGGTAACAATTGCCGGTGAAGCTGTAATAGCCAGCTGCGATTGATGCATTAGAGTAGTTTGAAAAAAGGGTAAAAAATAATCTCTATACACAGATGGCTTCGGTGGTTTAACAGTCGTACTATGCAGTGCGGCAAGTTTACTTCATTAAAGAATTTTCTATTCTTTTCTAAAACATTTTGGTGATCATAAATATCTAGCGTACGTTTTGTTATAACAATTGTTGTTTGCACCGACCCCAGCATCGTACATACAACCCTAAGACTGGTGGTTTGTGTACAGGGTCCCCAGGACTACATAAAGCTGTCCATCATCGGCGGAGACCAGCTGCAGTTCCAGTTCCAGGTGGGCGACACACCGCTCGGCGTCTCCGTGGAGACCAGCACCCGCCTCGCTGACAACCAGTGGCACTCTGTCTCTATCGAACGGAACAGGTACCATAGATCCGTCTTCACCTGTTTTCACACCATTCCATTTCATTTTAGGTGTATCATTCTCATATCATCAGGTTCCGGTTTTTTTGGATGAAGGTGATTTTCTCGGAAGAAGTGATTGGCGGAAGGCTCAATGTTTTAGCCCCGCTGGGTTAAAGAGTATTTACTAACACAGATTCCATGAAGATCTCTTGGCCAAAACCAGGACTAATCAGTGATTGTAGGAGATATGGTCTTTATTTTGGACCCTTCGCTACCAAGAGCTCGCCTCTCTAAAATATACGTGTAGGATGTATACAATAAACATAAAAAGTATATCATCGTGTGCATTGCGGTGTACGTAGGAAGGAGGCGCGCTTGGTGGTGGACGGCGCGCTCAAGAACGAGATCCGCACCGCCAAGGAGCCCGTGCGGGCCCTGCACCTCACCACCGCGCTGGTGCTGGGCGCCGCGCTCGACCGCAAGGACGGCTTCGTGGGCTGCATGCGCGCCCTGCTGCTGGACGGGCGCGCCCAGGACCTGCGCGCGCGGGCCACGGCAGGTACGGACACACATCGCAGGACAGGTACGGACAGGCACCGCAGGACAGGTACGGACAGCCACCGCAGGACAGGCACGGATAGCCACCGCAGGACAGGTACGGACAGCACTATTTTGAAGATCTAAATGGTTCAATTGTGCCATCACTGCTTAAGGATCGCAAAAAGCTAGCAATATAGGTAATGTTAAAGTTTTCAGTTAAGTTGGTCAGTCAAACACTCTGATTTACTTCCGATGGTCGCGAGTTCATTTCCATTGTGATTGTTTGTATTGGTCTAGGGTGTTTCCTGTGTATCTCAAAAAAAAATCTATATATATCGATTGTCTAGTATCCATTACGGAAGTTCTGTTTAGCCTAAGACTGACGCCTGCAATTCCTGCGGTGCCGTAAGCTAGTTCTACTCTGTGCTATATGTAAAGAGTGTTCCCCCAGGGCTGTACGGCGTGTCTGAGGGGTGCGTGGGGCGCTGCGAGTCGTCGCCGTGCCTCAACAACGGCACCTGCCTCGAGGGGTACGACTCCTACGCCTGCGACTGCCGCTGGACCTCCTTCAAGGGACCCATCTGTGCCGACGGTCAGCTCACATACTTTTATATTTCAAACCATATGTCTGTGACTATAAGGTTTATAGTTACTTGATTTCTAAGTTCCTGGACCTCTATTTATGTGGATAGCACTTATGAATAAGTATAATATTTCCATATACTCATTTTATGAGCTAGCATCGTACATTATTTCACGATGTTAACATTTCATTTAAAATTTTTCTATATTACCGAAATCAGTTTGTATCTATTAACCAAGAACTTAAGATAATTTATACATGTGTCAGCCACGTGTGTATAACGTGAATTTTTGCAGTTATTTTTTTTTTATATTACGGTCTTAGCAATCAGTCATACGGCCCATTTGATGGTAAATGATTGCTTTAGCCTATGAACTCCTGAAATGCCAAGGGTGTCACGTGCGCGTTGCCGATCCTTAAGAAACATTTCTTAATGAACCCCATGCTGTAGTCTATAGAGAAAACCTCGAATCACCAGTCGTCACTCGAGTTACCAGATTATAGTTTCGCAATTTGTTAAACAACCTTTAGTAATATATATACTTTTTTATTGTACTAATGAAATTTAATGTATCTAAACTTCGGATACAGAAATCGGTGTGAACCTGCGTCCCAACTCTATGGTGAAGTACGACTTCCTTGGTTCATGGCGTTCCACAATCGCGGAGAAGATCCGCGTGGGATTCACAACAACCAATCCTAAGGGCTTCCTCCTCGGGTTTTACTCGAATATAACTGGAGAATACCTCACTCTTATGGTTTCTAATTCAGGTAATTCTACACATGACAATATGGTTTATAACCTTTTTTTTAATCTTCAAGACTGAATTGACAGGTTTGAATGAAAATGAAACAGGTGCTGTAGCAGGATAGTGCTGTACCTGCAATACCGGTTTGTCTAATTGTATTTTTTAAAACTTTCTAAGACATACTGTCGAAATATTTTTACGTACATTAGTGTTACCATTACTGTCTTTGTAAAGAACACAAATACATTTTTGTGGTGTCCATACCATACATTTAGTAATTTTTAAGGTATTGAAATTACAAAAAACTGACAACACAGGTGATTTCAAATTTGTCTCTAAGATAAAAAAGAACAGTTTATAGTTTTTTTTAATTTACGTAGAAAAGTTAATTTGAAATTACAAATAAATACTTTAATTTTATTTATTTGTCTGTATATATTTGTATCCAAAATATAATTGTACAGGACACTTGCGCGTGGTGTTCGACTTCGGGTTCGAGCGGCAGGAGATCATTTTCCAGGGGAAGCACTTCGGCCTCGGACAGTACCACGACGTGCGGCTCTCGCGCAAGAACAGCGGCGCCACCATGGTTTTGCAGGTACTGTTAATGAAATAAAATCACCTTCGAATAATATAAAATATATATCATCATAAATGAAGCGCAAATCAGCACCCACAGCAACAAAATACATTGGTTTTTAATTGTTTTACTATATATACAACTACACCAACATATACACTATATATATGTTGGTGTAGCTGTGTGTATGTATATGTACGTACTGTCTTTGCGCTTCTCACCCTTCTGGGGCAGCGGATGTAATAAATAGGCTTCGGTGCTTGGCAGCACTTCCTCTTCTGCGGCGTCTCCTTTTCTTAGGGGCGTCCACTTACCGTCCTTTCGTACTCGTTTGCCTTCAATGCCACTAATACACGAACTTCCGCAGCCTCCCTAAAATTCTCCTCCTAGGGTGAGGTCAGTTATATCATCGTGTCTAATACATCAAATGGTTGCCAAAGAGGACTTGACCCCTCTTGGCTTCTGCCCCATCGCTAATCATTATTGTTAATAAGGCACTTGTACCCGATTATAAAATATCCGTTCACCTAATTTAATTTGTATATCCCGGGATTGAACCGGCAGGTGGACAACTACGAGACCCAAGAGTACAACTTCAACATCAAGGAGTCAGCAGACGCGCAGTTCAATAACATACAGTATATGTACATCGGACGCAACGAGTCGATGAGCGAAGGGTTCGTGGGGTGCGTCAGTCGGGTGGAGTTCGACGATATTTACCCCCTCAAGCTGCTGTTCCAGCAGGACCCGCCCCCGAACGTACGGGGACAGGAAGGTCAGTATCGCCTATATATAACTATATCTTCAGAACTGATTTCCAAGATGGGGTAGTCAGAGGAATTGAACAAAGTTAAGAAATTAAGACAACGGTTTATTTAGTAGTGGATATGACTTGGCCAAATTTGACTTAGTGTTTTCATATAGTTCTTTCCACAATCAAAGTGAAATGAAATTTATTACTTAAACGTGGTTTTAAACTCAAACTTAATTAACATATTAGATCTACACATTATTCATGTGCCATTTAACAGTTGTATTTTTATACATAACAAAATTCGAATTTCTATATTTAAATACATACCTACTTATATATATGCCCTTACCGAGTACCATATGTTTTTTTCCGGACTGTTCTAATGCTGTTGGCCGCAGCTGGCCTTTACAGCTTCACCGGACGTTAGGGGGCGAGTGCAGATGGCACTCCAAACCCTCGGAAGGACTTATGGAGCGGCTGAAGGCCAACTCCTGCCTGACGGATACGATACCATATGTGAAAGAATTGTTATGACGACTCGCATTTTGTAAGCCCGTGATAGCATTAAAGAGTGGCTTCTACTGCATTTCGAGTGTCTCCAGCGACGCGTTAGTTAGAAGTAGGCAATAACGAGATTCCACGGTGTGTGGTGCAGGCGGCGTGCTGCACGAGGACTTCTGCGGCGTGGAGCCGGTCACGCACCCGCCCGAGCCCGTCGAGACTCGACCTCCGCCCGCCGCCGACCTCGAGCGGGACCTCGACTACCACCGCACCGACGAGGCCATCCTCGGCAGTCAGTACACCGCACCCTACACCACTATATACTTCGATTACAAATACAAATACAAATAATCTTTATTCAAATAAACTCATTACAACCACTTTTGAATAGTCATATTTTGAGCAAGAAACTTGTGTGTTGCTCTTTTTAATAGATGTTTTTTTATATAAATAATTACTCTTTTTTCTTTTATTCTGATTCTTGTCCCTGACCGGTCTAGTCATTACCGATAATGTCAATTTTGTCTCTGGTATTAAAAAACAGACTATAAATATATTTTGATTTATTGTACATTTTTAATAAACACTTTATTACTGTTCATTCTCATTTTTATAAAATATATTATGTATACTCGTTTCGAAAATCAAATTTTGCGCCAAAAATAATTAATTATTGTTATTTTTTTAATTAAACGCATAGTAAGGCAAAGATTTCTAAAACATACAGCCTCAAAAGTCACTGATTTTCAAATTGACATTATTATTTATTAAGTTATATAAACTATGTATAATTTTGTAAATATTTTGCAGCTGTGCTGGCGTTCATCTTCCTGCTGCTGATTATTGTTGCGATCGTGTTGGTGCGCGCCCTATCGCGGCATAAGGGCGAATATTTAACACAGGTAACATCCACTTCCAATATTAGATTCTATATTTAAAAGGAAATTTCCAGGGCTGTAAAATACGTAAAAAAAAAATAGATTCTATTATACCATCATTGAGTAAAACTAATATATGCATGAATAGGGCTCCCACTGGATACTGCAAATTGAATAAATTTATATGGAACAATTTATAAGCCTAAAATTATATGGTTGTTGAATCTTGACGGCCTCGGTGGTCTAGCGGTTTAGCACACCTCTTTACTTCCAATGGCGTGTCCGGGTTCGATTCCTCTCACGGTGCATACATTTTTATTCACGAGTATGATTATTTGTATCAGTCTGAATATGAATAAGAATGTAATGGTCCACACCCCAGCGCTAAGGGTTTACCGTTAACAGGGCACCGGTGGAGGTTGATAAGATGTGCATGAGATCAGGTCAGTTAGCCCATCGTGATAAATTTACCATGAATTTATCACGATGGTTTCCAGAGGGACTACATGGAGGTGAACTTGACATGGTACATTGCTAGCCATTGCTAGTCCACATTGCAGTCCCCTCCCCTCTGTTTGCATGTATGAAATGAATGAATTCACGAAGATCGCTTTATCTATTATAAGATACAACTAATTAAAAAAATAATGTTTACTAAACTACTTTATTAGGCTAAGACCTGTAAAAATAGCTGTAAGAGTGGAAATAAAATAAAATAAATGCTACATAACATTATGGTGATGTGTGTGCAGGAAGAGCGCGGGGCTGAGGGTGCTGCAGGTCCTGATGCTGCGGCCCTGGCAGCCGCAACCGGCCCTCGAGTCACCAAACGCAGGGAGTTCTTTATATAGTCACACTCATCTTCCACTGCGGCCCACCACACAAACTATCACATTCTCATTCTTCTCAGTTATGTTCTCCATTTAAAATTGTTCCATATACTTATTATTTAATAGCTTTTCTAATATTATAATGGAAGTACAAAATATTAACATAGGTGACGATTCTGAATTAATAAAGTAAGTGGGGTCTTAACGCTGTATCGGTTTAACGCTCCTTTATTTCAACCCGGGGATTCAGAACATAATGGAAAGACGTTGAGGAAATAAATAAATTCAAAATCCGTTGCATAGTTTTGAAGATTTAAGCATACATAGGGACGGACAGACAGCGACTGCGACTTTGTTTTATACTATGTAATAATAAAGATATATACCGTAAACATCTAGAAAGTATGACGGCGTATTCATTGTTAGGACTATATCATGCACAGTACAAATTCTAATTCATAAATATAGGACGTAATAAAAATTGATTTATCTATACATATAAATAAAATTGGGGTGTCTGATTGTAATATTGAAATAACCGTTTTTTACTGCATGCATATGAATATAAATACGGAACATACACCAAAATAACATTTTTTATAATTTTTGTCTGTCTGTCTGTTTGTTCCGGCTAATCTCTGAAACGGCTGAACCGATTTTAACGGTACTTTTTTTGGCAGTTAGCTGTTGTAATAGGGCTAACTAGTAGTAACTTAGGCTACTTTTATTTTAGAAACATTTTATTGTAGAAAAATGTATAATTCCACGCGGACGAGGTCGCGGGTACAGCTAGTAATAAATACATTTCAATAAATGTTTGCCCTACCCGTCCTTATTAAAATAGTTTCAGAACTGACATAAATTCAACTATGGCTCTTTTAAAACCAGTGCATTATAGTATATTACGATATAAGTGTGTTATGGTCATAACACACGAAGCGGACTTTCAGTCCGAGCCGTGTGTTTTACTCACGTATAACGTACGACGTTTATCAACACACTTGATTTTATATAAACTCAACCATAAAACTGTCAACCACACTGTTGCTTTTTTAACTGGAATTAGAACCATTTTACAAGCAAGTGTGTTGAAAAATTAATTTATTTATTTGGGGGTATATCTCTAATTCACTGAATTTTACCGACGCATCTATAATCATTAATGTAGTACATGATGAGTTAGTAGTCAGTAAATAATAGGTTTATTAGCTGCGCAGATAACAAATGAGATCAAGGGAGTCACTGGCTGTTTGCATCTCTCTTTAACACGCGCAGACAACTAATGAGAGAGTAAGAACGAGAGAATGAAGAGTAAGAACTAAGGAGGGAGTCACCTACTGTTTGCATCTCGCTTTAAACACTCGTTTCGCTAAACTCACACGTACTCTTACCAAAAAAAGACTAGCACTACGAAAAATGCTTATAAAATTACTAGAATTCTAAGAAAAATACCTGATGTGTTTTTTATTAAGTACATATATTATTTTTGTTTATTGTAATGATAAAGATAAAAAGAGAGTTTAAAAAAGATAACCAATAACCGTGTCTTTCGCAATCCTTACCAATATTGTGAAAGTAGGGATGATTGTCACGCTTTCACGTAAAAACTACTCAACCGATCATCATGAAATTTTGTGCACATGTTCTTGGAGTCATTAGAATGATATGTTCATTCTGATCATATAGAGCATACTGATCGCCGATACGTATTTAATTGATTCAATGCAAGCTAGGTAAAAGCTAGTAATTACATATATTCTCTTTGTTTATTGTACTGATAAAGGAAAGGGGTGTTCAAAAGAGATGCAAATAACAGTAGCATCTACTAACTTGTTATTTATTTGCGTGGATAGTACAAAGCGTTCTCTTCACAATTTATATTGCGTGTGCAATCAGGCTGAGCTTAGACATGTTTGAAAATTATCAATTGCTTAGCTACTTAATATAAATGTATAGTCAAACTTACCTAATATAATTCTATATTAAAATGCAGCTGTTTATTAATCGTAATCACGAAATATTTATGTAACATCTCATATAAAACTGTTTATTAATCTTAATATCACGAAATATTTATGTAACATGTCATATAATCATGGGATTGCGACAGTCTTCGTTTGTATATAGTGGGGTTGAAGCTGGAACATTCTCTAAAGCTAAATTCTAAAAATAAATTTATATTTCACAAACTACCCGCCTCGGTTTCGCACCGGTGTCATATTATACATAAAAACCTTTTTGGATCTATTGCTTAAAATTTCATTAAAATCCGTTGTGTAGTTTAAAAGATCTAAGCGAACAGACAGAGAAAGTGACTTCATTTTATACTACGTAAACATTTTTAATTACAGTATGTGTATCTATTGTTTGATATTGATTTTTGATGCAAGAAAATTAAATAATTTAATTTTTCAAACATACACTTCCCTAAAACCATGTTACAGTGGTAAAATAGTTAAAATTTATATTGAGTATTTTAAGATCTATAATGAACTATGGTATTAGGTTCATATTAATGGAAAAAAAATATATATCTATTTTTAGAATACTGATCTATCTAATATCACATTAAAATTTAAATTATAGATTTAGAGATGCGTTTAGAGCAGTGGTTCCCAAACTTTTTAGTGTCGGAGACTCCTTGCCATATTTTTCGGTTTTGGGCAGACCCCCCATTCTCACCTAGTATTGATTTTTGGTAAATTTCTAACGTTAAAAACAACAAGATGACCCCTGGGGGTCGAAGTAGACCACTTTGGGAATCACTAGTTTAGAGAATGGCATTTAAGCATCAACCTAAATATATACACTTCTTTTATCTGATCTTGTGTGCAATAATGAACAAGCATAAAACGCGTTTTAATAATTAATCGTTCACTATATTATAATCTGTGGAATCACCCATCGTGTTTGCTCATTTACATTCTAAAACTTTTCTCCCACGATGTGCCATTTGGCTGTTTAATTTGTTACTGATATCTAAACTCGTAACTTGCTTTCTAACGTATAATCTGTGACAAGTTTTATATTAATGTTATAGTAATATAATATTATATTTTAGGAATGCCAAAACATCCGACGTACATTTTCTGTAAACATGAATAATCATGAACCTCTTCACCGGCCGAGTATAGCGTTGAATACAAAGTAATTATTATGAAATGAAATCAGCAATTTAGAAATTAATTAACAACTTTACTCGTCACTAAGACTTGCCACATTTGCTACTCAATTATTACGCTTTAAGGTTCAAATTCAAATGGCATACTGCTTACTGCAAAATTGAAAACTAAAAGCAATAACTTATAGTATTTTTCATATATATTATTACATTTACTATACATATATTTTATCATTTACTTTGCGAGTGTAATAATAAATCTACGGTAGTTTATATTTGGCAATTTACTATATATATGAAGGTGCCAGCTACTTTGAAAAAAAAACTATGTTTAAAGTAATGCCAAATCACTATATTACTATGAATTGTTGTAGTACAGAATATTAGGAAATGAATGAATGAATTCATGTAAAAAAAAAGTAAATTTCACCATACTATTTGCCATTTTTCATTTTACGGAGTACGTAATCACAATTATATTTGTAATTGAAGCTTTATTATTATATTCGTAAGGTCGTGTTTTCTAGATCTCAGTCCTTAACGCGGCGAGTGTAACTTCGACGCGAAACGCGGTCTTGATGCATCGACTTGATGCCAACACAAATTAGCATCTAAGATTATATATAATTTGATGTCATTTTTGAATGTACTCTTATAGTTTTTTGTAGACTGGTAATGTAGAACATATTGTGTGCATTTTATTTTTATTTTCCGTCCAAACGTTTAACCGAAGAGGGATTGTGAGTGAAGATCAAATTAATGTCAATAGATTTTGAATTCCTGTTCGAAATAAAGATACGTAATTTTAATATTAAGGCCATGTTTTTTTATTTAAATTTATATGAAATAAAAACTCTTTGTTGTTGCTCTCACAAAAAATTAACTAAATTAATATGTTTACAAATATAAATATATATAAACCATGCACCGGCAGTTTTATATATTAGTTTATCTATATTTAAATTAGAAGTATTCTTTTTATATATTGTCTTTATATACAGTTTTGCTCTCTCTTTATAGGAATACTCTGTATAAATAAAATTATGTAAAAACTTAATAAATTTACAACAAATATGACACGGAGGTAAACTCTTCCAGGCAACCTAATTTATTGATATTAGATTGGTTTCTTCATCTGGATATATCCTTCTTGGTTTTTTTACTTACGTATTGTGATCATGATTTTTTATTTATATCAAACAGAAATCTGTGTTTTAATTGTATGTCATTTCTGTATAGTTTTATATAGTTTGTATTATTTTGTACGCCTCTGTGACGCACTTCCAAAGTAAGTTAATTAAATTGTAGAATAAGAATGTATTTTATTATCTGCCTATATTTGGTGTAATTATTTTTTATATATTTTAAATATGTATAGTTTATTTTTATTTTAGCGTCACAGAAGTATATTATGTAAGATAGTCCACTTGCCGTGGTTGCTACACTGTATTATTTATTATATGAGACAATATCATTATTTTCATGTATTTATTTATTAACCTATTACAAAATAAGGTATTGTTTATATTTAACATTTAATGAAGATATTCGTTTAGCATTTAAAAAGACAAAATTACGGGGTTATTACACTGTCATATATTTATATAGGATTATAGAATTATGAAGCTGATGTTTCACTTTTAATAGCTTTATCTTCCAGCCCTCATACTATTGACTTGCAGTACTATATTTAATATATACATATATTTTAAAAATGTGACGGTTATTCATGGAGATATTATATAAGTTGCACTTACTAATCAATATTATTTGAAATAGGTTGAAAAATGGACTTTAGGTTAATAACTTTAAAGTTGGTTTCACATTTTTGTTAGTTTGTGACCTAATTCTGTTTAAAATATTGTGTTTGTATAAAAGACAATTGCCACGGATAAATAATATTTGAAAACA